CCTCCCCCACCTCATGCCTGAAAATGGACCCACACTACCCACACTACCCACACTGGCTAACAACACACCTCAAAGCCCCACACTCGCACTTGACCCACCTCCAAACCCATCCGAAAGCCCTATACTCGCACTTAACCGGTCTCAGAACCCACCCCTCAACTCACTTCACAACCCACAGCAAAGCTCCACACTCGCGTCCAACCCACCACAGAACCAATTACACAACCCGCCGCAAGGCTTCACGCTCGCACTTAGATCCCACGCCGTCAACAACATAGGCTGGACAGATCAGCTGCACGGAACCTTCCTGGACGCTTCCTCTTCGAGCGGCCTTCTGCTCTCCCCCCTGGATCCTGCGGGCCTCTTTGGCCGGGCAGTGTTGAGAGGCGAGGTGGTGTGGAGGAACAATGCTGTGCCGTCTGCTGCTCTCCCCAAGGGGCATCCCAAGCTCTCCTCTGCTCTCTGCATCCCGCTGACCTGCGGTGAGTCTTAGCTCCTTTGCTTGTCGCCTCCTAAACGCTTCCACTTCGAGCGGGCTCCTGCTCCCCCCCCCCCCCTGGATCCCACGGGTCACTTTGGCCGGGCAGTGTTGAGAGGCGAGGCTGTGTGGAGGAACGAGGCCGTGCCGGCTGATTCTCTCCCCAAGGGCCATCCCAAGCTCTCCTCAGCCCTCTGCCTGCCCTTAGCATGTGGTGAGTCTCTGCTGCTTTGCTTGTAGCTTCTTTCCCCTCTTCGAGCGGCCTTCTGCTCTCCCCCCTGGATCCTGCGGGCCTCTTTGGCCGGGCAGTGTTGAGAGGCGAGGCTGTGTGGAGGAACAATGCCGTGCCGCCTGCTGCTCTGCTCAAGGGCCTTCCCAAGCTCTCCTCTGCTCTCTGCATACCGCTGACCTGCGGTGAGTCTCTGCTGGTCTCTTGAGGACTTGTCGCCTCTCCCCCATCCGGGTCCCCTCTGGATCCCATGGGTCTCTTGGTCAGGCGGTGGTGAGAGGGGAGGCGGTGTGGCGGAACAATGCCGTGCCGCCTGCTGCTCTGCCCAAGGGCCTTCCCAAACTCTCCTCAGCCCTCTGCATACCCTTAACATGTGCCGTGGTGAGCTGTTTGCCCCTTTCATTGACGCCTCTCTCCTCTCTGCCCCACGGGCCTTTTTGGTCGGGCGTTGTTGAGAGGGGCGACAGTGTGGCGGAACAATGCCGTGCCGCCTGCTGCTCTGCCCAAGGGCCATCCCGAGCTCTCCTCTTCTCTCTGCCTGCCCCTCACCCTGTGATGAGTCTTGTCGCCCCTCTGCCTGCCTGCCTCTGCCCCTCACCTGTGGTGAGTTGCATCTTTGGCGTTGCTACGGTTGGTAACCGCATTCACAGTGCAGCCTGTGACTAGCACTGCTGCTGCCTGCATGTTCGGGCTGCGCTGCTGCCTAAGCGACATCGAAACCACCTTTGAACCTTTCTCCTCCCCTTCCTCCACCCCCTTCCTTTTGTCCTTTCCACAGGCCCCTGTGTCCTCGGCGTTGCGATGGCCCGTGTCTTTTCACTGCATTGGCGGTTACGAGTTTCTGGTGCGGGCAGTGCAGCCTGTGACCTGACCACCACTGCTGCAGCAGCCACCCTCCCCCTCAACCCCTCTCCCCCTCTTCTTCCCTTCCACAGGCCCCTGTATCCTCGGCGTCGCGATGGTTGGTAACCGCATCGGCGGTTACAACCAATCCTTGGTGCGGGCAGTGCAGCCTGTGACCAGCACGGCTGCAGCCTGCCTGTTCGGGCTGCACTGGCGAGCTGCGGGGGGAAGGAGGCTGAGAAAGAAAATGGCTTCAGTGACAGAGGTGAGGGAATCTGCGTGTAGCTGTGTGGGTGCCTGTGCAATTGTGCGGGCGGTGCAGCCTCTGACCAGCAGTGCTGCTGCCTGCTTGTTCAGGCTGCACTGGAGGGCCGCTGGGGGAAGGAAGCTGAGGAAGAAACTGGCTTCAATGACAGAGGTGAGGGAAGGGGTATGAGTGAAGGAGAGGGCATGTGCGTGCCTGTGTCTGTGTATGTGAGGGGAGGAGGGGCAGGTATGCGTGGGTTAGTGGGTGTGTGTGAGTGAAGGAGAGGGAGAAAGAGTGCCTGTCTTGTGCCTGTGTTTATGTCCTTTTTTTGTTTTTTTTTTTTACCCTCTTTATTTCTCTTCCCTCACAGGTTGGACTGATCCGCATCAGTGCATCTGGGCGCATTACTGGCATGGACGCTCCTGCTCGAGCCATGTTCTACCTGGTGCCCGCCTCCTCACACCCACTCCCTCTCATCTCCCATTTCTCTCCTCTCCCCTCCCCGGTTCCCCCGTGTCTCTCTCCTTACAGGTCGGCCGAATTTGCATCAGTGCATCTGGGCGCATAGCTGGCATGGACGCTCCTGCTCAAGCCTATGTTTTCCCCGCTGGGCCCCCGTTCGCTTATCCCACGCCCTTGTCCTCACCCCTCACATCTCCTCACAGGCTGGACTGATCCGCATCAGCGCATCTGGCCGTTTTGCTGGCATGGACGCTCCTGCTCGCGCAATGTTCGCCCTGCCGCCTCTTCCCCCCCTTCTCACACCTACACTGAAACCCCATCATTTGTTCTCCCCTTCCCTTCCCCTCTGCCTGCAGACTGGCCGGATCCGCATCAGTGCATCTGGGCGCATTGCTGGCATGGACGCTCCTGCTCGAGCCATGTTCTCCCTGCTGCCGCCCCCGTCACTCACCCCACGCTTGCGTTGAAACCCCACCCTTTTGTTCTTCCCATCTCTACCTCTCTGCCTGCAGACTGGCCGGATCCGCATCAGTGCATCTGGGCGCATAACTGGCATGGACGTCCCTGCTCGAGCCATGTTCTCTCTGCTTCCCCCGCTGCAGCAGTTGCAGAAGCGGACGAAGGGAGACAAGGCACAGGGGGAGGATGCAGTGAGAGGGGATGAAGAGAGGAAGGAGAGAGATAAGGGGAAGAAGAGTGAGGAAGAGGAAGGGGAGGATGCAGGGAAGGAGGAGTCTGGGCGTTCACACGGGTCTGTTGGTGGGTGTGGGAAACTGGATGCTGTAGAGGGGGTTGAGGGAACAGAGGGAACAGAGGGAACAGAGGGAACAGAGGGAGCAGAGGGAGCAGAGGGAGCAGAGGGAGCAGAGGGAGCAGAGGGAGCAGAGGGAACAGAGGAACCAGAGGGGGCAGAGGGAGCAGAGGAAAACAAGGGACAGAAGCATTGGTGTCAACCACAAAAACTGCAGCACTCACACAGTACAGGATCACATTATAACGAATCACAAGGGGAGCAGTCAATGGCGGCGGCATCTCTCGGGCAGGAAGAACAAAAGGAGGCCAACGGGCAGGAAGAACAAGAGGCCAACTGTAGGGTGACTACCAACACTACCCCACAATCCAAACCTTGCCGCCGGGACTACCCTCCAGCACCCATCCTCCTTAGAGACCTCTTCCTTAGAGTAGGTAAGACAGCAGGAACGGATATCTCTCCTATAGTGCTGCAGCAGCTGCTGAGAAAGAAAGGGCAGAAGGCAGTGGGTGTGCAGAGAGGAGGGGGACAGATTCTCCTGTATTTGGAACTGGAGGGAACAGGAGAGGAGGGAGAGGAGGGGGCAGGGGGTGAGAGGGAGGAGGAGGAGGAGGAGGGGCAGAGAGAGGGGAAGGTGGAGGAGAGGGAAGGGGAGGGGAGGGAAGGGGAGGGGAGAAGGGAGGACGGGAGTGGAGGGAAGGACTGGGTGGGGATAGACAGCAGGAATAACGGGACCATGGCAGGGAAAGGAAAAGGGGTTGAGGCCGAGGCTAAGGCTGAGGTTCGGGCCGAGGCTGGGGCCAAGGGTGAGGGTGATTGGCGTAGGAAACTGATGGCCAATTCGTGGGCGGAGCTGTGGGTTGGGCCTCGAGACAAGGGCCGTGCAACGACACAAGGAACAGGAGCAGGAGCAGGAGAAGCAGCAGAATTGAAACCAGGGGTAAGGGCAGGAGCGGGAACTGCATTGGCAGCAGGGGAAGGGGCAGGGGCAGGGGCTGAGGCAGGGGCAGGAGCAGGAGCAGGGGCAGGAGCGAAAACATCCCAGGCTGCAGATTCATCTACAGTTTTGCAGTGTAACAGCCATAAATTCTCAGAGCATGACGTTAGCAATCACAGCCAAGGGCAAATCGCAGCAGCAGGTGAATATCAGGCGGCAAAGAGCAATATCAGTGAAGTGTCCTCCAACTGCAAGGCTAGCAGCAGCAGTAGCAGCGGTGGCGGCAGTGGCGGCACTCGACAGCAGTTGAAATCAACCATGTGCACAGTGCGAGTAAGCCTGCTAGCGAAGCAGCCTGGAACTCCTGTAGATGATTGTATTTAATACACATTCCAATATCAATAATACAGCAGGAAATTTTACTGTTCAAACGATTGGTTGGACTAAAAGAGAAGAAACACCTGCGCGACAAAAAAATGCTCCAGTATTGCTACATAAGAACATATAAAATAAGGCTTTTCACCATGGACATACGGTACGAGGTTACTGGTTACTGGAGCATACAAACACCAGTCCCAGTCACCCCAACACTAACGAGGTTAGAAGTTAGAAGTAACCCAAGGCAAGCCGCCCGCATTCTTTCCCCCAGCCTTTCAAGAGGAGGGGGGCACTGGGGCAGCAACTAGGAGAGAGCATACTGTGTCCTGCTAGCGAGCAGGTGGCGGGAAGAACATGGTGAACTGCCATAGGGGAAGGGAAGAGAGGGGGAAAGGAGTTGGGGGAAGGGGGCACAAGGGGAAGAACATTTTGTCCTGCTAGCGAGCAGGTGGCGGGAAGAACATGGTGAACTGGCACGGGGATGAAGGGGAAAGAGGGAGTGGGGGAAAGGGGTTGAAAGTGTGGGGAGAGGGGTGTGGGGTAGTTTGGGTAAGAAGGGGAAGAAGATGTGAGGTGCTAGTGAGCTGGTGGTGGGAAGAACATGCATGCACATGAAAACTCACATCCTCATGCTTTTTGAGAATTCTCAAAAGTGATTCCTCATCCTCATCCTCGTCATCCACTGAGAATGAGCCTATCCACGTTGAAGTTCATGAATACATAGCCACACATGGCATACCCCACCTCCATGGCATACCCCACCTCCATGGCATACCCCACCTCCATGGCATACCCCACCTCCATGGCATACCCCCACCTCCATGGCATACCCCCACCTCCATGGCATACCCCCACCTCCATGGCATACCCCACCTCCATGGCATACCCCACCTCCATGGCATACCCCCACCTCCATGGCATACCCCACCTCCATGGCATACCCCACCTCCATGGCATACCCCACCTCCCATGAATGCATACAATACAGCCACGCACACTGCACACCACACATGAAACTCACATCCTCATCCTCGTCCTCCACGAACCCGCTGAGAATGAGCCTACCCGCGTTGAAGTTCATTGCAGCGAACCCCACACCTGCCACCCCTCAATACCCATCTCCCATGCATATATACCCACGCATACCGCACACCACACATGATACTCACGTCCTCATCCCCGTCCTCCACCCTGCTGAGAATGAGTCTATCCGCGTTGAAGTTTCAATGCCACGAAGCCAGACCTATCATATCCACCTTCCATGCACTCATACATCCATGCACATGGCACACACCATGCATTCACATGATACTCACGTCCTCATCCTCGTCCTCCACCCTGCTGAGAATGAGTCTATCCGCCTTGAAGTTCATGGCAACGAATCTCACACCTGCCACACCTCAATACCCATCTCCCATGCATATATACCCACGCATACCGCACACCACACATGAAACTCACATCCTCATCCTCGTCCTCCACGGCCCCGCTGAGGATGAGCCTATCCGCGTTGAAGTTCATGGCTACGCAGCCACACAAGCAGAACAACACCCTAATCCATCTGTACCGCACTCCACACATGATACTCACATCCTCATCCTCGTCCTGCACTCTTCCACTGAAAATGATCCTATCTGCATTGAAGTTCATGGCTACGCAGCCACACAATCAGAACAACACCCTCATCCATCTGTACCGCACTCCACACATGACACTCACATCCTCACCCTCGTCCTGCACTATTCTGCTGAAAATGATCCTATCTACATTGAAGTTCATGGCTACGCAGCCACACAAGCAGATCAACACCCTCATCAATCTGTACCGCACTCCACACATGATACTCACGTCCTCATCCTCGTCCTGCACTATTCCATTGAAAATTATCCTATCTGCATTGACGTTCATGGCTACGCAGCCCACCTTCCACACATGCATTGATTTCACGGGTACAGGCTCACACTTACATACCCATCTCCCATGCATCATAATCATCATACTCACGCCCAACGAGGTGACTTTTGAGTCGACTCAAAAGGTGTACAGGTTCACACTGACATACCCATCTCCCATGAATCATAATCACCATACTCACATCCTCATCCTCGTCCTCCACTATCCCGCTGAGAATGAGCCTATCGGCGTTGAAGTTCATGGCTACGAAGCCCACCCAGAGCACTCCCGAACAGAGCATGATGAGGCCCATGCCCGCAAACAGCCCCACCTGGGAGGGGAATGAAGAAGGAATGAGAAATATGGGATGAATGGGGGAATGAGGTGCTAAAGCTGAGCCGAACAGAGCATGGTGAGGCCCATGCCCGCAAACAGCCCCACCTGAGGGAGGGGGAGTGGGAGTAGGGAGTGGGGAGGGAGAAGGGATGATGAGAAGGGATGGGGGTGAATGAGGTGAACCAACTGATCCGAGCACAGCACGATGAGGCGCATGCCCGCAAAAGCCCCACCTGAGGGAAGGGGCGGTTTGGGGGAGGGAAAATGATGGAGGTGAGGTGAAAGGGAGGGTGCTGAGAATGAGCCTATCGGCGTTGAAGTTGATGGCTACGAAGCCCACCCACAGCACTCATGATGAGGCCCATGCCCGTAAACAGCCCCACCTGAGCGTGGGCGGAGGTGAGTGGGGGAGGGGAGAGCGATGAGAGAGAACGGGTGAGGGATGAAGGGACGAGCACAGCATGATGAGCCCCACGCCTGCAAACAGGTGTGTTTTGAGTCGACTCAAAACACATCTTTTGCTAAAAGTATCTTTCTAAATGCTGCTCGCCCTAGTCTTCATGGCTGACGAGCACAGCATGATGAGCCCCATGCCTGCAAACAGCCCCACCTGAAGAAAGGGGGGAGTGGGTGGGAGGGGGGAGAGCGATGAGAGAGAAGGGGTGAGGGATGAAGGGACGAGCACAGCATGACGAGCCCCATGCCTGCAAACAGCCCCACCTGAAGAAAGGGGGGAGTGGGTGGGAGGGGGAAAGGGCCAAACTGGATACGAGGTGTACATACAGAGACTAAACACTTATTGGTAAACACTATATAAAGGGAAACTCTAAATAGGAAACAAAATACTCGTGATGGAACACTACTGAAACAACACTCACCGGGACTACCCCACTGCCTGTTGATTGCTCCCAGACTAGATATGAGCTGTAGCACACAGGCACAAGCGTGAAGCACCTGGGGTGAGGTGGGATGGGTGGGGTGAGGAGGAGTGGGGTGGGGTGAGGTGAGGTTTGTGTGGAATGGGTTTGCTTGCGTAAACGCCTTGCTCATCGAGAGGTATGCCTTGTGGTGTGAAGTGGTGCAGTGTGGTGTGGTGTGGGGGCTATTAAGTTTCCATAATTTTAGGTGATTGACAGCATGCGACTCACCACGTTAGGCAGTACCAGACGGATACACCCCATCGGTGGAGCTTCACAAAGGCCTTGCTCATTGATGGATATGACGTGTGGTGCGGTGTGGTGAAATGTGGCGTGGCGTGGTGTGGTTCCAACGCTGTGCAGCTTACGACGCCAAAGAAACAAGCACTTACCACGCTAGGCAGTACCAGACGGAGACCCCCCACCGGTGGTGCTTCACAAACGCCTTGCTCATTGATAAGTACGCTGTGTGGGGCCCGCGAACGGCCACCTGGGCGAAGCAAGCTGAGAGGAAGCAGCAGAAGATGGCGGCAATCCCAAGGCCCACTGTAGGACCCGGGGAAACACCGCAGGTGGCAGGCGTGGAGGTGCAGTCTTCTGGTATTTGGGGCTGGGAGGGGGAGATACAGAGGAGTGGGGTGATTTTAAAAATGGTTGTTAATCCCGGGGAAACGCCGCAGGCGGCAGGCGTGGAGGTGCAGTCTTCGGGTATATGGGGCTGGGAGGGGGAGAGGTGAGACGAAATGGGGGAGGTCTATATTTGAGCTGCCTCGAAAGCAGATGGCGGCAATCCCAAGGCCCACTGTAGGACCCGGGGAAATGCCGCAGACAGCAGGCATGGAGGTGCAGTCTTCAGGTATATGGAGCTGGGAGGGGGAGAGGGGAGAAAAAAGGGGGGAGGTCTACATTTGAGGCGCCTCGAAAGCAGATGGCAACAATCCCAAGGCCCACTGTAGGACCCGGGGAAACGCTGCAGGCCGCAGGCTTGGAGGTGCAGTCCTCTGGTATTTGGGGCTGAGAGGGGGAGAGGGGAGGACACGAGAGGGAAAGATACAAAGTAACGGTTGATCTTTAGTTGAGTCAAAGAACGCATGAGGAGCAATGGCGCATGTCCTCTGGAGGCACGCGTGGAGGTGTTGTCCTCTGGTATATGGAGCTGGGAGGGGGAGAGTGGAGACACGGTAAAGGGGGTGCTCGTAAAAATGGACTCAGATTACATCTGGGTAGCGGTGGGCATCAGCTGTGGGGGGCAGTGGGTACTAGTAGCGGTAGCATCCGTTATAAGAACACTCACCTTGGTGTGCTCGGCCACCATCATAAGAACGTAAGCTGCGAATGCCGTACCAGATACCACCACCGACCCGATAATTGTTTCCAACTGGCCCATGGCGAACAACTCTTTTTACACTGTAACGCTGTTACATGTAGTGCAGATAAGATGCCTCTGGACGGAAATATTCTACCTAAATTCGCAGGAAATTCTTTTCCACTCGCTCCTTGCTGTCCTATTTTAAGCGAATTGATGGCTTGCCTGATTATGGACCTATATCGCCGCCATAGCGCAATTGACTAATCTACCGCAATGTAATTTATCTACGGTTTTGATTGAACCTAACAGCTGTAACGGCATCACGGACGGAAGGACCAGAAACTCGGCATAATTTACTGCCAATAATCAAGTCCCGTATATCGGACAATAAGAACGAGGCGAATCGCGGTGCTATATAAAAGCTCTCAGCCTACGGTAGGTGCGCTCCGTTGGTGGCAATGCCACACGCTATGATCGTGCGCTATGAGGATTAACATCTATTCAGCCAAGAAAGCGTGAAAGCTGCTGGCAGTGGTGTAGCAAGCACGCCTCAAGATGCTACATCCACGATGAGCGAGGAGTCACGTCGTTGCTAAAGTTCTTCCTTCTCTCTCCAGTCATCAACCCCTTTCACCTAAGTCAGTCGCGAGGTCTAAAAGGAACTCCCATGTTCACGACGTTCGATGCTGACTTTGTTCTGAGATAGGAAGTTGTTTCGAAACGAGGGCGTCCATAAATTAGAGGCGAGATGGTCTGAGCAGAGAGAGTTCAATGCCTAGCGCGATGAAGACAGCTGCCAAGTCTAGGAGATATTTGTGGGAGTTGAGGTGTTGTTGGAGTTGAGGAGAGTAGGGATTGTCGAGATGAGGTTTAGGTCGTGTCCGTATGGATGACATGTCAAATGGGCAGTGTCAATTTGGCATTTTGACACTCAGCCAACATTGTTGGCAGAGTGTCAAGAATTTGCAGGTTGCCAGCCAATACAAATCGTCGGGCACTTTCTGTTTTGGCACATCATACCTACAAACAAAGTCGCAGCTGCATATCTCACGACCAGGTACTGCCCAATCAGAAAACACCTTCTCCAATCATCTTTCTTTCGATTCGTTCACTGCCTATGAGGTCAACAAATGACAAGTTCTCCAACCAATGAAATTGCGTCGCTGATGTTCGCACATGCGCTTCGACTTGACACTACAGCTACAGTGTTTGACACTCTAGCTCGAAAGCGCTTCGGGTTGACACGCCCTTGTTGACATGTCATCCCTACGGACACGAACTTACTGTGCTTTCAGCTCCTTGCAAAACCGGTTGGCAGCGCGTACGTGTACGTTTCATTGTTCGCAGCTCGGAACGGTTTCACACGGTAGAAAGCGGCAATCTGGCTTCACCGTTTCTCACCGCGACACAACGAAAAAGACCGCACATGGAAAAGCGAAGCACGTACGCACGTGGTTCACAACGACAACCTCCTACTGCTCCCTAGAAAACACATTTTGGCGGGAAGGGTAAATTGAGGCGTGAACGGGAATTACTGAAGAACTGGATGTTTGAGGAATATAAGTACAGTCTACACTGATCTTGTTTTACCCTGCTAATATATCTTTCGATTTTAGAAATTGCAACTTGTTCCAAATCCCGTTCCCTTGGCCTGATGCGACGGTCTGATTGAATGACTCCCCGTCAACCACGCTGCTTTGGCTTCTAAGTATCACTTACATTAGATCAACACCTCCTCGCGTTCTTTAGTGCTTCTTAGATTCCCAGAATTCATTCCCTGTCTCAAGCCGCATCAGTATTCGTGGTAAGCACTGCAACACTCGCATCGACTGGTAGTCACGAGTCCCACCAGGACCACCACGTGGCAGAGCCTGAATGGCTGCTGCCGCGGAGGCAGCCGTCGCAGGTAGTAGCAAGCCCGGAGGAAGCAGCGCTGCTGAACCCGCGAATCTTGCCGGAAAGTCCGGCCGGACGGACCGCGATCGGGATCGCGTGTACGACATTCCCTGGGTTGAAAAGTACCGGCCGCAGCGCGTGGAAGACATAGTGGGCAATGAAGACGCGGTTTCGAGACTCTGCGTCATCGCGCGCGATGGCAACATGCCGAATCTAATCTTCGCAGTATGTAAGGGAACTATGCAAGGCAAGACGTGGTTTTTTTTTTTTTTTTTTTTTTTTGAAGAAAGTCACGCTGCCCTCCCTGCTCACCTGCGACCCCTGCTCTTATGCTCCCCATGCTCCCCTGCTCCCTCATTCCCCCAGGGTCCCCCGGGGACTGGGAAAACCACAAGTGTGCTCGCCTTGGCCCATGCATTACTAGGCCCCAGCTACCGCGATGCTGTGTTGGAACTCAATGCGTCTGACGATCGAGGCATTGATGTGGTTCGCAACAAGATCAAGATGTTCGCTCAGAAGAAGGTCACTCTGCCGCCCGGGCGGCACAAAATCATCCTCCTGGATGAGGCTGACAGGTGGGGGTGAAAGCCATGTTGTAGTAGCAGCACCTAGGGACCTAGGAAGTGAACTTCCTATCCTAGTATTTGCTGTACGTTTTCTCAGAAGAGGGTCACTTTGCCGCCCGGGCGGCACGAGATCATCCTCCTGGACGAGGCTGACAGACGGGGCTGAAATCTTTAGTAGCATCTAGCGTTATCCAAGGTGTGGGCTCCATACTTGGGTTTCCTGTTTTTGAGTCGACTCAAAAACTGATATCTACAGTAGCATCTAGCGTTAGCCAAGGTGTGGGCTCCATACTTGCCTTCCTACTTCAACTCGCTCTGGTTCCTCCTTTCAGTTTCCCCCTGATTTTTGAGACGTCTCACAACTTATTTTGCTGCGGTTCCACTCCCTCCCTCCCTCCCTTGCCCCCTTCCCATCCCCCTCCCCACCACCCCATGCCAGCATGACAGCAGGGGCGCAGCAGGCCCTGAGAAGAACAATGGAAATCTACTCTTCCACCACTCGCTTCGCCCTCGCATGCAACGTGTCCTCCAAGATCATCGAGCCAATTCAGAGCCGCTGCGCCGTGGTGCGATTCTCCCGGCTTACAGACGCCCAAGTGTTAGCCCGACTAATGCTGGTGGTGCAGGAGGAGAAGGTGAGCTCTGAAAGGCGCTGTATGGTGAGTGAGTGCGAAATTGCGAATCACTTTTGGTCCGCTTCTGCCTCGCCCCCATTTTCCCGCCTCATCAACGCCCAATTGCCGACCCCACTAATGCTGGCGCTCCTTGTATATCCTCCTGTCCTGTGACTGTATCGACTCCTGGTTTTATCTGGTTGTGACTGTAACAGGTGGCGTATGTGCCAGAGGGGCTGGAAGCGATAGTGTTTACAGCGGATGGCGACATGAGGCAGGGGCTCAACAACCTTCAGGCCACTGCAACTGGCTTCGGTTTAGTCAACGCAGATAATGTGTTCCGAGTATGTATGCTTCTAGCATTCACTTAGGCTGTTGGTGTAGCTGTCTGGAATGGGAGTGAAAGCATGGGAGACACAGTCGATGGCGACTTGAGGTAGGGGCTGAACAACCTGCAGGCCACTGCCACTGGCTTCGGTCTCTCTCGTCAACGCTGATAACGTGTTCCGGGTATGTGAGTTGGTGTTCTCACATTCAGATCATTTTAGCTTTGTCACTAGGAGGGTACGACCTATGTGCAAATCTGCTCAGCCCCCTCGTGGCCGTCTCACTCGTGTGACTTGACTGCGGTGCGGCAGAAACAGTCAAGGCGTGTCTAACAGGCAAGGCAACATCAACACTGCATGCTGTGCCATGGCAACTTCCCGGACCTCTTTGTTCTGGGCTACTCTCTAAGCCAAAACCAATCCCGTATGCTTCTCCCTCCCCCTCCAGGTGTGCGACCAGCCTCACCCACTCAAGGTAGCAGCAACAGTGAAGGCGTGTCTATGCGGTGACATTGACATGGCATGCGAGGGCATCCGGGACCTCTTTGCTCTGGGCCTTAGGGTTGACAGTCAAGCCAAAGCCAATCACACCATCTCCTATGCGTGTATCCCTTTCCTCTCCCAGGTGTGCGACCAGCCTCACCCACTCAAGGTGGCAGCAACAGTGAAGGCGTGTCTATCCGGTGACATTGACATGGCATGCGAGGGCATCCGGGACCTCTTTGCTCTGGGCCTTAGGGTTGACAGTCAAGCCAAAGCCAATCACACCATCTCCTATGCGTGTATCCCTTTCCTCTCCCAGGTGTGCGACCAGCCTCACCCACTCAAGGTGGCAGCGACAGTGAAGGCGTGTCTATCTGGTGACATTGACACGGCATGCGAGGGCATCCGGGACCTCTTTGCTCTGGGCCTTAGGGTTGACAGTCAAGCCAAAGCCAATCTCACCATCTCCTATGCGTGTATCCCTTTCCTCTCCCAGGTGTGCGACCAGCCTCACCCACTGAAGGTAGCAGCGACAGTGAAGGCGTGTCTATCCGGTGACATTGACATGGCATGCGAGGGCATCCGGGACCTCTTTGCTCTGGGCTACGCTGCTTCTGACATCATCACCACGCTCTTCAGAATAGTCAAGAACTACGACATGCCAGAATTCCTGAAGCTAGAATTCATCAGGGTGAGTCACACTGTCACATCGTGGGGAAGGGGTTGTTTCTAGGGTTGTGTATACAGAGGTCACTTCTCTGGGCTATGCTGCTTCTGACATCATCACAACACTCTTCAGAATAGTCAGGAACTACGACATGCCAGACTTCCTGAAGCTGGAAGTTATCAGGGTGAGTCACGCAGTGGAGAAGGGTTGACAGCAGGGCCATGCACAGGAACAATGGATCTTAGCTCTGGGCTATGCTGCTTCTGACAAGACCCCTCACATCTTATCTCCATGCCTGCCTACCCGTATCTACCTACCCTCTCCTTGTTGCAGGAGATTGGGTTCTGTCAAACGAGGATAGCAGAAGGAGTGGGTTGAGTCAGGAGTTGATTTCCTTGTCTCCCCCTTTCATCCCTCGTGTTGCAGGAGGTTGGTTTCTGTCACATGAGGATAGCAGATGGGGTAGGATCGGTGCTGCAACTATCTGGTTTAATGGCCAAGCTGTGCAAAATAGCGAGAAATGCTGCTCTGAAGTAGAGCTGACGAATTTGCATGTGATCGTATTGTTCATTAGACTTTGGGCTGCATGATGGCCTGATTTCCTTGACTCTCTGGCTAGCTCGTCTCCCCGTCATATCGAGTGTCCCCGGAGTGCCCAACATAGTTTCCTGAGGTTCCCACCTGTAGATATCGGTGGTGCAGTCAAGGTTGCGTTGCATACTTCTTTGTAACATATGTGGTATCCATAAATAATGACTCGTTATAAATAGTTCCAGGGAGGTCAGTCAGCAATTACAGCATCACTCGAGATCGCGTCCATTGCGCCGTCGCATGCGGGAGATGCAAAAATCACCAGGGTCTCGCCGAATTGCGAACCACGACACTCGTATCTCGTCATTTCGTCAGTTCGAGAGCCGGTCGCCATCCGCGAAAGGCTTTCAATTCTCACCACAATTATTCGCAGCAAAATTGATTGTGCGGTGATGAGCCCACAAAAATCACCACAATCATCAGTCAGAAAGCTCGTGCGACTCGGCCTGCAAAACTCCCAAGTCCCGTCCCGACGCCAGTTTACAGCAAAGCCAAACCTTGACTCACGGCAGTTCTCGAAGACACCGAAGCGTAGGATAAATAGAAGCTAGCAATGGCGCTTCATTTCATCACAAGTTCCATCCAATCATCTTCACCCTCTCATCAGTTCAGTTCATTCAGTTCAGCGTTGTCCACTACAAACAGAACTTTTATTGAGGTGAAAATGTCTCCCACTAGAACCACTTTCCTCGTCGTCGTCATAGCCTCTGCGATGGTCCTTTCCGCCGCCCCTGCGCGCGTCTCTGCCGCTGCGGCAGCTCCCGCCAACACGACTGCGGCTGCTAACAGGACCGCTTCTGCTAAGGCGGCTGCCGCGCCTGCCAACGCGACTAAATCCGGAAACGCTACTAGTAAAGTTGGTAACAGCGCCGTCGGAGCGGCGACGGCGAGGCTGAGCAAGGGCGCGGGCGAAGGAAAGAACTCCACATGCTCCTACTACGGAAACTACAACGCAAACCCTTACTTCGCCAAGGGGCTCACCGCGAAGCTTCCGCCCGCGCTCTTCGGCAAGCGCTGCGGCGCGTGCTACAAGGTGGAATGCCATAATGACACGAAGCGCTGCCGCAGTGGCAAGGCAATCGTGACCGTCCGTATAGTCGGCGAAACCTCCACGGAGAAGCAGATCTCCCTATCCACCGTCTCTTGGTCGAAGATTGTTCAGGGTTCTGATACTGCCCCCGTTAACATCACGTACAAGCGCACGAACTGCCATTCGACCGCCGGATCGGGAGTCCGCGTGCGCAGCAACTCAACGGCTGAGAAATTCAACATCCAAATGGTGGGTCTGGCCGGCCCCGGTACGCTTACAGAGGTCGAGCTTAGCGCGGACGGCAAGAAGTGGGTGAAGCTGACGCGCGACGGCAGCAAGGCGATTTGGGGAATCGCCGGCGCGGAGGCGAAGGAGGTTTTGGGCGCGAAGAAGGCGATGAGCGTTCGCCTCACTGCGGGACACACCCTCGAGAAAATCACCCTCGAGAATGTCATTCCCGCCGCCTGGAAGGCCCAGACGGTGTACTCCTCTAAGACCAACTTCAAGAAGCTTTTGCCTGAGGCCAAGTAGGCGTTCGTGTGAAGAATCGCTTTTGAGAATTCTCAGAAGCGATTTCGATCATGTCGCCGACTGGAAGGTCGCGACGGTGTATTCGTCTAAGACCAACTTCAAGAAGCTCATGACGGAGGCCAAGTAGGCACGGTGTGAAGGAAATTTTAGGTCTCGTCCAAAGTTAGAGCGAAGAGGGCTAGGGCGAAGGGGTTAGGTTAAGTGGGAGAGTGGGATTGAGGGACGGGAGTGCGATGGTTCAAGAGGGCTGTTGTATGCATATGATTTTGAGTGTCAACGATTTGAAAATGCTATTGCAGAATTTGTCGAACTACTCTGTAATGCACAATATGGGTACCTTGTGATGCTTCAAGCCATACGACACTGCGCGACCATTGTGTAATGGAGGATATTCTCTGTTTTCCAGAAACCACGAGCTTGATAAGGGTAGCACCGCAACTGTGGCGGGTAGGAGGGGAGTGGGGCGTGAGGGGAATGGGTTAGCGAAAGGGAATGGTTGTGCTGGGAGGAGTTACAACGTTCTTGAGGAACTACGTTTTTTGGAATACTACACTAACTAGTGCCAGGAACTTGGTTTGGCCTAAAAACGTAAAACAAGGACTTTTCTGGCTGGCACTTGATTCTTCCAAAAATATTGGTTGCTGGTTCTTTCAGGGCAGGGAAAATGTCGTAGAATGCTCTTTACATCCGAGTTGGCGGAAACCGGAAGGTAACCATGTACGTACCGTACCAATTTGGACCCTCGTATGCCTAATGTAGTTACAGCACCTCAAGCTTGCTACTGCAGGCTTCGCCCCACCTCTTGACGTGAATTGTGATGCAACATATGGTTGCATTGCATTGCATTGCCATGCCTAACTGATAGAAAAGAGCACAAACAGAAACGGTGAAGCTCAGGGTACATTCATACGTCGACATTTCCACAATGTAATCGTCACAAAGCAGTTTGCTGCTCTGCACTGCATTACACCGGACTATCAAACGTTCACAACGCACCGTATCTAGTATTTTACGACACGAGGCTTTTGAGACACGCTTCCCAAATGTACCCTTAGGATCCAACAATTAATTTCCAGTAGATGGGAGTCTTGGCTACAAGCAATAATGCTGTTGCTGCCACCACTGTAGGTTACAGCAGCTGCTGCTTCTATTCTGCACCGCGGCTGCTTCCACCACCAGACTCATCCGCCCCAGCAGCACCAGAACCATTGCCTCCAGTACCAGCCTCCCCTCCTCGCAGAAGTCCTCTCTTCGTACTCTGTATACATCAACGAGTGCAAAAAAAGGAACGCCGTCCCCCTTATTACCCTCCTTCCTATCGTCGCCATGTTATCTACTGCTCCCCCCGCCACTGCTGCTGCTTCCAACTGCACCACCACCACCACCACCACCCCCAGTACCAGCCTCCCCCTCCTCGTTGAAGCCCTCCCTTCGTATTCTGTACTTGCCGAAATTCAGTGACGAACAAACAAATCAAAGGGCGCCTCCCCTAGGTGCTCCTCGTAATGCTGCCCATGTTACTGCCCATGTTATTGCCCATGTTGCTGCCCATGTTACTGCCCATGTTACTGCCCATGTTACTGCCCATGTTACTGCCCATGTTACTGCCAATGTTATCTACTGCTCTCACTGTCACTGCCACTGCTGCTGCTGCTTCTGCCCCCAGAATCTCCTCACTGAAGCTCTCCCTTGGTATTCTGTACTTGCCAAAATACAGCCACGAGCGTATCAAAAGGCACGGACTCTTCCTATCACCGCGGCTGCTGTCTGCTCTCACCACTGCTGCTGCTGCTTCCACCAGCAGCACCAGTACCACCGCCCCCAGCACCAGTCTCCCCCTCCTCGCTGAAGTCCTCCCTTCGTATTCTGTACTTGCCGAAATTACAGCCACGAGCGCATCAAAAGGCACGGCCTCCCCTGGGTGCTCCTACCCTGGAGGCGATTCCTAGATCTGCCGATGTTATCTGCTGCTCTCACCACCAGCACCATCTGCACCAGCAGCACCTGAACCACCCCCAGAACCACCTGCCCCAGCACCAGCCTCCCCCTCCTCGCTGAAGTCCTCCCTTCGTATTCTGTACTTGCCGAAATACAGGGACGAACGCATCAGAGGCACGGCCTCCCCTGGGTGCTCCTCCCAATATGCCTCCTGAACCGGAGGTAATCAAGCACACAATCAAGCACTAGTTTAAAAAGATGCAATAGTCGAAAATGATAGTTTGCTAAAAAAGTCGAAAATAATGGGTACCACCAGCAAACACCCGATTTCCACCTAAATGCCTCGCCTCTCACCTTGTATCGTTGTTCTGTGATTGCAGCGAGTGTGATTCCGGTATAGAACCCCGCTGCATTCGCTATAAGAATCGGAAGTAGCGGCTCGGGAGGCGCGAATCTTAATAAGCGGTCGAATAGCATGCGAGAGACACGAGTCGGCATTGGCGTACGTGGGGAAAACAAGCCCTCGTACACGTCAGCAGGCGACATGGCTGACGTGGCCTTGGCAGAATTCGTCGCGCGCCGTGCAGGGCTCCATAGAGCCCGTAATCTACGGAACATCGCTCCTTACAGCGGGCGCTCGAACCTAAAGAAATGCGCGCGTAACAACGACTATAATTCGTACGAAGACTGGCCGACGTAGTCTTTCCGATCCATGATGCTGATTTCCGCCTGGTATACAAGTGGGCTCTACCTTACGCTGATCTTAGTGCGCGATTATACCGAACGGAACCACGATTTAAACGTTAGGAACCGCTTTGAAGCTTGTGATACCGAAGCTCGTATTCTTGATCAGTTTAGTTTTGAGGCAGTTCATGGTTCCCAGCTTTGCCTGAATTATTTCAATTTGATGAACTTGACATTTCTTCAAGGATTTAGGTTTTTTCACGGTTTGTTACGATACAAGTCGGTTTCTGTTATAAATATATGAACCACGCATCCCCAGATTCCCCAAAACACGCTATTCTGCTGCAGGTCCCTTGGAAAGGTCGGCCCGTTTAGGAAACCGCCTGGCTACAATATCGGGTAGGAACCGCGATTCCGACATACTCGTCGGGTTTATGCTTGGTCTATCGTCCGTCGCGCGCATCGTTCTCGCGATTGCGCCGCGCGATCTGTATTGGCCTGTTGCAGTCTGGTAGTTGGTAACGAAGCCAACTTTTCGCTGCCACGCTTTTCCAGTCGACTGCATTCTAGTTGACTGCAGTCATATGCCTTGTAATACGCACTCGTTGAGGAGCCTGATAGCTTGAAAAGCATCTTTATTGTGTTATAATCGCTTTCGTGCCTTTCAAGGCTTCTTTAAGGCCAGTCGATCGCGATCTCATTATCGTCTCCCCGCGATGGGAGGCGGATTGATCGCCGTCGATCAGCGAGCATCGGACGGCGGTCCGGTGCTGGAGCCGGGGGAGGAGGGCGAACCGGGGGAGGTTCTTCTGCACTCCCAGCCTGACGTCGGATTGGTGCTCGGCGAATCCGACGTGGACGAATCAGGGAACCTCTACATCACATCCAAGTGAGACTGCTGACTCGTCATTTCCCTCTCCTCTCCCCTGTCATCTCTCCTCCTCTTCCTGTCGTTCCCCCTTGGTTCCTGTCACTTCCACCTCCTTTTCCAGGCGTGCTTCTTTTTGGAGGTTGTTTTAGCATGCCGAGTTTGAAGTCGCGTTTGAGAATTTGTCAAAATCAACGTCATTTTCCAAGCGTGTGGTGTGGCATTTCTCACAAGCCCCTCCTGGCATGTCATTCAGGTGACTTTTGAGTCGACTCAAAAGTCACCAAGCGTGTGGTGTGGCAGTTCTCACAAACCCCTCCTGACATGTCATTCAGCCTGGTAGATCTGACGTGGCCGATCTGGATTTTCCCCTTCTCCCTCCTTCTACACCCTTTTTTTCCCCCTTCCTTCGTCTCATCCCTTCGTTCCCCCTTCATCTCCCAGGCGTGTCATATGGCACTCCACACACACCCCTCACGGCATCGCAGTCAGCCTGGTGGATCTGAGCATGGGCGGCATATTTTTGTCCCTTTCCCCCTCCTTTAATCCCCTTCTCCTGTCAGGCGTGTGGTGTGGTGTGGTGTGGTGTGGTGTGGTGTGGTGTGGTGTGGTGTGGTGTGGTGTGGTATGGCACTCCACGCACACCCCCCTCGGGGCATCGCAGTCAGCCAGCCTGGTGGGTGTGAGCATGGGTGACCTCATATGTTCCCCTCTTCCCTTCCCTCTGCTTCTCCTCCTGTCTGTCTCCTTCTTCTCCCAGGCGTGTGGTATGGCACTCCACGCACACCCCGCATGGCATCGCAATCAGCCTAGTGGATCTGAGCATGGGCGGCCTCCTTTGTCCGCTTCTTCCTTCTTCTATCCCCTTCTCCTTCCAGACGTGTGGTATGGCACTCCAAGCACACCCCACGCGTCATCGCACTCGGCCTGGTGGATCTGAGCATGCATGCACAGCGTATTGTGTTCCCAGCCTCCCTTCTTTTGTATTCTTTGTTCCCCCTTTCCGCCTTCCCTTCTCATCTTTCCCCATCATCTCCCAGGCGTGTGGTGTGGCATTCCACGCACACCCCGCACGGCATCGCAGTCAGCCTGGTGGATCTAAGTATGCACGCAATCTCCAGGGATCTCGAGGCATACCCCAAGCCCTGCATTTACACGCAGGTGGGTGGGAGTTGTCCAGTTTAGAAAGACAGTTCAGGTTCAGGTTCTGAGTCAGCCTGGTTGACCTGAGCATGCATGCCATTTCCAGAGAGATGGTTTGAATTCTACAAACATGAATCCCCGTAGGCTGACTGAACCCTTGACGGATTAAGTTCCAAAGTCTACTTCGATTCGAAGTCTTAACCCCATACCCCAGCCCTATGCCAAACCAAACCCGTAAGCAACAAAACCCGACCTGACATTTACCCCTTCAACCCTACTCCCCAACACTGATATGAAAACCCAACAATTCAGGTTGACACTGGTGACTGGGAAGACGAGGATGAGGAGGAGGAGGATGAGGTGGAAGGAGAAGGAGAAGAGGAAGAAGAGGAGGGGGAAGGGGGAAGAGGAGCAGGGGCAGCAGAGCAGGCGAACCACGTAGCAGGACCAGGGCAAGGGGCAGGGGGGAGAGGAGAGGGCGAGGATGAGGAGATGAGGGAGGCGGAAGGAGAAGTGAGAGGAAACGATGTGCCTGCTGCTGCTGCTGGTGCTGCTGCAGTGGGGAATGGGAGTGTGGCAAATGTGTTTGAGCGCCTATCGCTCGTTTCTGAAATGAGGCTTGTTCCAAGAGACGAAGCTGCATGTGAGTAGCACTTTCCTCTCCTTTCCTGCTTGCTGGCTGCTGCTGCTGCTGCTCCTGCTCTTCCTGGTAGTGTTGCTATTGCCAGTCTTGTGGTGGGCAATGGCAGTGTGGCAAACATGTTTGAGCATCTCTCACTTGTGTCTGAAATGAGGCTTGTTCCGAGAGATGAAGCTGCTTGTGAGTAGCTACTCATCAGCTGTGCCACCTATTTCGTGTTTAGAGGCGCATCAAGAATCCTTCCACCTATTTCTCTGGAGTGGATGCCATTATTAGGACTCGGTGTGACAGTGCTACGTTGAATCCCTCTTCCCTCTCCTCCCTTCTCCCCCCGTCTCTCTCCTAACATCTCTTCCGCCGACCCCCCTCCCTCCCTCCCGTTTCCTCGTACAGTGGATGCCATTTTCAAAGCGCTGTGCGACAGTGCGGCACTGAACCCTGACCCAGAAGGAGGTGAGCGAGAGGGTGGTGTGCCGTTGTAACAAGGTGACGTTTGAGTCGACTCAAAAGTCACCTCGTTTCAAAGCGCTGTGCGACAGTGCGGCACTGAACCCTGACCCAGAAGGAGGTGAGCGAGAGGGTGTGGGTTGCCCTAACCCAGTACACACATTAGCCTAGAAGGCAGCATTGTGATGGAATCACTTGTAATATTTTTCAAAAAAGTGCACACACACTAGCCTAGCATTCCACAATATGTTCAGGCATGAAATGCCTGAACAGAAGTCGAGGGCTGCTGGCATTCCATGCTTGTCAAAATGGCATCTAGAGGGTTAGTCAGGGATGAGGCAAGGAGCCTGGGATTCTGTGATTTGATTAGAGTGATCTGGTCAGTGATCAGATTTTCCCATCTGATTTTCTTGTTGGAATGTTGTGCGCTTTTCTTGTCAAGGATTGAGTACTTTTCTTGAAATGTTGGGTGTGCTTATTGTTGTGTGTGTGTGTGTGTGTGTGTGGTACGCCCCATAATGTGACGTCTCTGTGTTGCATTCCCTGCAGCGGAGCAAGAGTTGGAGGGCGATTGGTACTATAACGAGGATGAAGTGTTGAGGAACGCACGAGTGGTGAGGAGACGGAGGGTTAGAGGGAGGGAGAAGGATGGAGGGGTGGAAGAGAGTGGGGAGGGGGGGAGTTGCTTCACCACGTCATGTGGTGCTTGTCATGGCACCACATTACCACGTCGACATTTCACCACATCGCCATGCCACCACATCGCCATGCCACCACATCGCCATGCCACTCACGTCACCATGTCCCTTGTCAACCATGTTCCCATATCACCACCATATTCCCCCGGCAGGTGTTACCCGAGGGAGATCCGGACCAGTTTGAAGATGCAGATGAGGATGAGGAAGAGGAGGGAGCGGGTGCTGCTGCTGGATCATAGACTCAGGGTTTAGGGTTTAGTGATTAAGTGGTTTGGTGATGCAACATTGCCATGCCACCACAATGAACATCTGCCCAGTGATCGTCAATACAGACTAGGCTATCTCCCTGCTGCTGTGGTCTGTGAGGTCTCTTATTGTAATCTCAAATTGGCGAATACCAGGCAGGGCAAAGGTGATCTAAAAAAGGATGGTTATGAGCAGCTAATTCTGCAGCATCTTTTATAATAATCACTGCCAGAAAAGAACGTACTGACAAGCAGTACACCGTGAGAAGCAGTTGCATCCTTGATCAAGAGCTCCTATTCAAGGGTTTTTTTACCCCTGGATTCTGTATTCAAGCATGTAACAATTCAGTATTCTAGCTGCCGAGAGCGAGCATGAACTCGCCCTCGCACACTAGGTCACCACCCACATACGCCTTGCCTGCCAGCTTGGCGATTCCGAACCGCTTCTGGTACTTGGTGAGAGTCATGCGCATGACCAGGGTGTCACCGGGAACCACCGGCTTGCGCCAACGGACCTGCAGGGGTTGGGGTGGGTTGAGAACGGTGGGGATAAAATATAGGTCACCACCCACATACGCCTTGCCTGCCAGCTTGGCGATTCCGAACCGCTTCTGGTACTTGGTGAGCGTCATGCGCATGACCAGGGTGTCACCGGGAACCACGGGCTTGCGCCAACGGACCTGCAGGGGTTGGGGTGGGTTGAGAACGGTGGGGAAAAAATATAGCGGGTAAGTGTGCTTTCTTTGTTTCTCAGTCAAGACGCTTCTGGTACTTGGTGACGGTCATGCGCATAACTAGAGCGTCATAGGGGGTCACCGGCTTCCGCCAACGGACCTGTGGAGAACGGAAACGGGGTGGAACAGGGGAGGGAGTAGTGGAGGCGAGGAGGAGAGGAGGGGAGGGGAGAGGAGAGGAAGGGAGAGGAGAGGAGAGGAGGGGAGAGGAGAGGAGAGGAGAGGAGAGGAGAGGAAGGGACAGGAGAGGAGGGGAGAGGAGAGAGGGGAGGGGAGGAGGGGAGACGAGAGGAGGGGAGAGCAGAGGGGAGCGGGGAGGAGGGGAGACGAGAGGGAGAGAGGGAAGACGAGAGGAGGGGAGGGAAAACGAGAAGAGAGGTGAGGAGTAGAGAGGACAACAGAAAGCATATAGATATTGTCCCCTATGATTGTGCTACTGATTTCTTCTATGTGATCCTGATTTTCTCTCCTTTATCCCAGTGTCTGGAACCACCCTGAACCGCCATGAACCATCCTGAACCGCCATGAACCACCGTGAACCGCCATGAACCACCCTGAACCCTAACGGACCACCCTCGAAACCACCCAGACTCACCCCATCGACGCCAGCGAAGAAGAAAGCATCTCTCTTGCCGCCAAAATCGTCTGTGAGCATCACGATGCCGCCTAGCTGCGCCATGGCCTGCATACCGCAGGGTGAGGGGGTGAGGGGGAGAGGGGGAGAGGGGGAGGACAAACGGTGAGCAGAAAGCGTCTCTCTTGCCGCCATAGTCGACAGTGAGCGTCACGATTCCTCCTATCTGCGCCATGGCCCGCGCACAAGGGGCGAGAAGGAGGACAAGCAAGGAGGACAAGTAGTGAGGACAATACGGAAGAAAGAAGGCTTCTCTTGAGGCGCCTCACAAGAAGGAAGGTGCCTCTCAAAAAGGAAGGTGCCTCTCAAAAAGGAAGGTGCCTCTCAAAAAGGAAGGTGCCTCTCAAAAAGGAAGGTGCCTCTCAAAAAGGAAGGTGCCTCTCAAAAAGGAAGGTGCCTCTCAAAAAGGAAGGTGCCTCTCAAAAAGGAAGGTGCCTCTCAAAAAGGAAGGTGCCTCTCAAAAAGGAAGGTGCCTCTCAAAAAGGAAGGTGCCTCTCAAAAAGGAAGGTGCCTCTAAAAAAGGAAGGTGCCTCTAAAAAAGGAAGGTGCCTCTCAAAAAGGAAGGTGCCTCTCAAAAAGGAAGGTGCCTCTCAAAAAGGAAGGTGCCTCTCAAAAAGGAAGGTGCCTCTCAAAAAGGAAGGTGCCTCTCTTGCCGCCAAAGTCGTCAGGAAGGTGCATCACGATTCTTCCTATCTGCGCCACGGCCTGCACGCAAGGAAGGCCAGGGTGGGAGGGCAATGACACAAGCGAGGGTGGGTGGGTGGGTGGGTGGGTGGGTGGGTGGCTGGCTGGCTGGCTGGCTGGGTGGATGGGAGTGCATGAAGGCGACTTGTGAGACGCCTCAAATTTCTCTCCTGAGTAGAGACATGACGGAGGGAGTGCATGGGCGCGAGTCGAACGAACGAGCGTACCTCGACCATGACCACGCCGGGCATCTAGGGGCGCTCGGGGAAATGACCGGCCGGGGAAGAAGTTGTCAAGCGAGAGAAAGAGAGGGTCATAAGTACGCTTACAAACCACGCCATACGGCGTACCTCGACCATGAGCACGCCGGGCATGATGGGGCGCTCGGGGAAGTGGCCGGCCGGGGAAGAAGTTGCCGTTGACGTTGCGAGAAAGAGGGGGTCACGGGAGGAAGAGGAAAGGAGTGATGCATGGAGGGACGAGAGCAGAGGACGGCGAGGAGCGTACCTCGACCATGAGCACGCCCGGCATGATGGGGCGCTCCGGGAAGTGGCCGGGGAAGAAGTTGTCGTTGACGGTGACGTTCTTGATGCCCACAGCCGTGACGCCCGGCTCGTACTCGATCACTCGGTCCACCAGCAGGAAGGGGTATCTGGCGAGTGCGGACGAAGGGACAACAAGGACGGGGCGGGACGGACGGGGGTGGCGGGACGGGAAGGGACCATTCTAATGATTTACTTCCTGAAAGCCCTGACATTCGAATGGCTGTATTGAAATCGCTTTTGAGAATTCTCAATGTGGCGGGACGGGAAGGACGGGAAGGGACCATGCGTATGATTTACTTCCTGAAAGCCCTGACATTCGCATGGTTGACAATCCGACGGAGTTCATAGAGTTTCTAACAAACTTGATACGGAGAAACTGAAAACGAGATACGGAGAGTCTTTAGCTGCCCTTACGACGACAGCTAGCCGTTGATGGATGTTCTGTGACGACCAGCGCACACGGAGGACTCACCTGGGCGACATCACCTGTGCGACACCACCTGTGCGACAGCACCCGTGTGACAGCACCCGTGCGTATTGAGCCTCACCTGTGCGGCACCACCTGTGCGGCAGAAGCTCCTTGATCTTATTGATGTCCAACAGGGCAGAGGCGTTGATGAAGGCTACGGAATGGTGATATGTGAAAATGAGCGACAGCACATATGCGACAGCAGCACCTGTGCGACACCTGTGCGACACATGTGCGACACCTATGCGACATCACCATGCGACAGCACCTGTGCGTGTTGAGCCTCACCTGTGCGGCAGCAGCTCCTTGATCTTGTTGATATCCAACACGGCCGGGGCGTTGACGAAGGCTGCAGAACGGTAAATACGTGCAGCGAGAAGGAAAAACAGGGAAAGGCAAGACACTGAGTTAGGGAAACCATAGCGCAGAAACGTAGTGTGTGAGCGACGGAAGAAGGAAAAGGTAGGCGAATATGTGTATAGATAGCAACAGCATACAGACAGATGCTCGATAATGGGAAGAGGGGGGACAGCAGGGCACCAGGGATAGGAATGACAGATCACATGTGTGGAGTCGGGAAGACAAAGAACATGTGGGGGGTCAGGATGACAGAGGACCCGTCACTCACTTTTCTCAATAGGAATCGCCTCAGCCTCTGTAGCGGTCGCCGTCGCAGCTGCTCCATCGGCGTCGCACCGAATCGCCGCGGAAAGTGGGCGACGTGCGACGGCCTTGTGCGACGCCTTCGTCGCGAGCGACATCCCAGAGAAGCTGGAAACCAGAGGTCTGGCGGTGGCGGAAGCCGCGACCGTGCGAGCCGGCACTGATGCGAAGGCTGCTGCCTGCATCGTTACGTCTGCGAGAGTGGCTGCCATGCTTCGGAGATGCTAGTTACGAAGGGAACTGCGATTCTGGTGATGCTGCGTAATCTGCAAATGCGGCTGCAAAGCCCAAACAAAGAGAGCAGCACCGGAAAGAACAGGATCACAAGGTGGAGCAGCAGCAAAGAAATAGGCAGCACTCGAGCTAGACTGGTAAAATGGTGAGGTTGTAACTGAAGATCTGACTGGGACGGTTGCTAATTTCACAAAACCTTGGGGTTGTCTCTCTGGGAAAGCCATGAAATTGGATTCGGGGGTTGAGATGGGAGGTTGCGGTGCTGGGGCGTGTTCAAAACTTCCAAAAATATGTCTGTTCGCGATCAACGCATTTCCATCTTGATTCTCAAGTCGCGTGGTGTTTTGTCAGCGCCTGGATGTCTAAATCTCCACTGAGATTATTGAAACCTAGTAGCTGGATCAGTAAAACGAGCGCGCCTGTGTGACTCCTCCCTCAGCCTTCGAAATCGTGGAGGTTTTCCTTTGTGCTCATTGGCTTCTCGCCTTCCTGGGGTGTCCGGACATTGCAGTGAGGTTTTCCTAAGTTGTGCTGTCGATACCAAGGTGACGCTGACGTGACAGGATGTTCGCGAGGAAAGATTGACAGGAAAGGTGGCGAAAAGGCGGAGTGCTAACCAGTGACAGGGAGTCAGCAACTGATACGTGACGTGGATCTGCGCCACGCTGTATTACACACGCTGCATCAAATGTCAGATGACGTGCCGAATGATCAGTGAATGCATGTCAGCTTTTGATGAGTTCCTTGTCCTGTCAGCAAGAACACGAGAGGTCGGATTGGTCAGATCTGAGTAGATTGCTGATCGAAGAATCCGGTAAAGGATCATCCGATTGGAGCAGTTAAGTGAAACAAAGTGGCTTTGCGACCCACGGGCCCGATGCATTTCGTCACAAACCATTTCGATTACTGTGAACCATCTCTTTACAGATAACGAGTTGTGATAACAGCGAGTCAGAATGACTACTTCGGTAACTGATATAGGTGACGCGGTTTGGGGCTGAATTGTTCTTCGCTAACTAATGTGAGTCTGATCACTTGTCATCCGCACCTGCCGCACGAAAAGGGCGATTAATCTAGCAAGAAGCCGGGATTGTGCCGCGGTTTGCGTACCTTCGCACGAGCGAATTCGAGTTTTCGCCAGTGTAATTGCCAGAAGCGTTTTCCTCCACTGAGCAACAAGCTCGTCGCACGCTACACCCAGGGATGTCGCATCCGGGAGTGTTACAACCAGGGTTACATCCAGCGTTACAACCAGCGTTACAGCCAGGGTTGCAACCAGCTTCACCAGCCATGTTCGACGCGCGCAGACTAGCAACGGCAGTACCGGAGGACATAGTGTTCTGCATAGACACCGACATAGAGGCGGCGCGCGAATTAAAGCCGTCCACCGGCGCAGCCTCCGCTACAGCCGCAACAGGCGCTGCAGCAGCTACAGCCGGCGAGGGGGTGGGAGCAGAGGGAGCAGGAGCGGGATCAGCGGCTTCACAAGCTACAGAAACAGCAGCAGGAACAGGAGCAGCATCAGCACCACCAGCAGCGTCGCTGACGAGACTAGATGCCATTCGGCAGGCTCTACTGCTGTTCACTCACTCCAAACTCGCCATGAACCCCTCTCACAGGTAAGTCCCTCGCACATGCAAGCCTGTCGCGCAGGTATACCACCCACCCCCCCTCACGGGGTCAGCATCAGCAGCGGTGACACCAGCGGCACCACCAGCAGCATTAAGCCTCAGGCAAACAATCAACGTCCTACTTTTTAGCTAGACAAAACCGGTTACCATCAACTTGTTCACTGAGTTTCTTCTCAAGCAAACAACCTTCTACTTTTTAACTAAACAAAGTCGCTGCCATGTAAAGAGATGGCTCCAACCTGTGTGACATGAGTCGATTTTTGAGTCGACTCAAAAATCGACTCATCACACGCGGGCTCCCCCTCACGGGGTCAGCATCAGCAGCGTGACACCAGCGGCACCACCAGCAGCGTCGTTGACGAGACTAGATTCCATTCGGCAGGCTGTGCTGCTGTTTCTGTAGCTTCCATCCATCCACTCACCCCAAACCAAACTCGCCATGAACCCCTCGAACAGGTGCGTCGCGTATGTGCCGCTTCGTTATAAGCTTAACCTTTATTGTTAGACTCGGTTGCAAGGAATCTCTTCTGATGTTCACTCACTCCAAGCTCGCCATGCATGAACCCGCAAGGACTCCAATCTCGAGTTGCACAGGTGCTGTCTGCTTTGTTTTCAACAGTGGAGTTTCAAGTTGCACTTCGGGGACGCTTTGGAAAGGCTGGAAAAAGTCCTGTGGATTTACAAAGGAAGAAAGAAAGAAAAAAATAAACTCCATGCACACATGCACCCACCCATCCCTCTCTTTCTCTTTCTTCCCCCCTGCTTTCACTCAACAGGTTCGCCCTGGCCGCACTCAAGGGCAACACAGCAGTAGTACCTGCCTCCCCTGGTTCCTCCTCACGGCAATCACAGTTCTCCTGGGTACGCTCTGTTGTGAAAGCACGTTTGCCAGTTTGAGTCGCCCACCACACAGAGTGCCACCTAAACCTGGGCCCACCCAATGGCTTCAAAGGCCCACCCAATGGCTTCAAAGGCCCACCCAATGGCTTCAAAGGCCCCCCTCACGGCCTCAAAGACCCTCCTTTTTAATCACCGCTCACCCTCTGAGGCTCATTCCACCTTATGTTTCCCTCCTCCTCTCTCAATCCCCCACCTCACACACCCCTCCCTCCCTCCCTCCCTCCCTCCCTCCCTCCCTCCCTCCCTCCCTCCCTCCCTCCCTCCCTCCCTCCCTCCCTCCCTCCCTCCCTCCCTCCCTCCCTCCCTCCCTCCCTCCCTCTCCTGATTCGTCCATCAGGTGGTCGAGCATTTCACCAATGACATGAACTCTCTCCTTGCTGGCGTCCAATCACTGCACGCCACGTCAGCCTACTCCTCCGTCGACCTCTCCCCGCTCTTCCGCGCCCTCGCGTCAGAATCGCAGCGCTCGGCCGATCGTGGGCGTTCATTGCGACTGGTGAGATCCTGACTGAAACCCTCCTTCCCTGCGTGGTTTGAAACTTCTCAAAACTTACAAAATTCTTCTCTCCGCCCCACAAGCCTGCTTCTTCTGCTGTTCAACTTGTTGCTCTTGTTCCTCTTGTTGCTCTTCTTCCTCTTGTTCCTCTTGTTCCTCTTTTTCCTCTTGCATCTCCAGTAACCACCACTCCACTGAGTTCCGTGTGCCCTGCCATTCTCTTCACTGCTGATTGCCTCTACTGGCACAGCTTTCCCAACACCTACCTTTCCCTTTCTCCTCCAACCTCCAATGTGGGTCGATTCAAAAATACTGAGTTGACTTTTGAGTCGACTCAAAAGTCAACGCTTTCCCAACACCTACCTTTCCCTTTCTCCTCCAACCTCCAATGTGGGTCGATTCAAAAATACTGAGTTGACTTTTGAGTCGACTCAAAAGTCAACGCTTTCCCAACACCTACCTTTCCCTTTCTCCTCCAACCTCCAATGTGGGTCGATTCAAAAATACTGAGTTGACTTTTGAGTCGACTCAAAAGTCAACGCTTTCCCAACACCTACCTTTCCCTTTCTCCACCAACCTCCAATGTGGGGCGATTCAAAAATACTGAGTTGACTTTTGAGTCGACTCAAAGGTCAACGCTTTCCCAACACCTACCTTTCCCTTTCTCCTCCAACCTCCAATGTGGGCCGATTTATAAATACACAACCGACCTAGCTCCTATGTTTCCCCCGTCCTTCAAACTTCCCCTCTCATCCCCACCTGCCAGATTCTCGTCTTTTGCCGTTCGTCGTGCATCCCCGGTCCGCCTCCCAACCGCGCCCCTCGCCCCGCCGTCCCGTTCACTGCCGATTGCATATACTGCCATGACCACCCCAACAATTTCAACTGCATTCACAATCCCTCCCCTTCCCTCTCCCTACCTGCCAGATTCTCTTCTTTTGCCGTTCCTCTAGCATCCCCGGTCCACCTCCCAACCGCGCCCCTCGCCCCGCCGTCCCCTTCACTGCCGACTGCATCTACTGCCACGACCGCCCCAACAATTTCAACTGCATTCACAATCCCTCCCCTTCCCTCTCCCTACCTGCCAGATTCTCGTCTTTTGCCGTTCGTCGTGCATCCCCGGTCCGCCTCCCAACCGCGCCCTCGCCCCGCCGTCCCATTCACTGCCGATTGCATATACTGCCATGACCGCCCCAACAATTTCACCTGCATTCACACCCTCCCCTTCCCTCTCCCTACCTGCCAGATTCTCTTCTTTTGCCGTTCCTCTTGCATCCCCGGTCCACCTCCCAACCGCGCCCCTCGCCCCGCCGTCCCCTTCACTGCCGACTGCATCTACTGGCACGATCGCCCCAACAATTTCAACTGCCCGCAGGAAGTTTTCGACGGGCTGACCGCTGCCCTGGAAGCAGTTTCCGTGCCCGAGCCTTACATCTGGGAGAACAGCAGCAACTCTGCCCGGTACATCTTTCGAGCGACATCCTCGTTATTAGCACACCCAGCACAGCGACAAGCTGACGACTACCTATCCATGCCTAGGGTTTTGGACTCAGGGCCCAGAAACGCCCCACCAGGAGAGGGCAATGCTTCAGGTGTACCTGGTGCAGGTGCATCTGGGGCAGGTGTAACTGGTTCAGGTGCGCCTAACATGGGGTTTTACTCTGGAGGTGCGGGTGGGTTGGAGGTGGTTTATGGTGGCAATGGGGGAGAGAAGGGTGAGAGGGGTGAGAGGGGAGGGAAAGGAGAGAAGGGAGAGAAGGGAGAGAAGGGGGAGAGGGGTGAGAAGGAGAAGTCTTCTATATGGAGCAGGCTGGGACAGGGGAAAAAAGAAACTCAACGTGACCTGCAGTGATGTTGGCCTCACACCTGTGTGTCAGAGGCCCTCTGGAGTGACTTTTGAGACTGGAGGGACTTCTGAGGCTGGAGGGACTATTGAGGCGCCTCCATACATATGTCAGAGGTCATGTGGCGGGTTGATATGGAGCAGACTGGGACATAGGAAGAAATTCACCTCTCAACGTGACGCGCAGTGACGTTGGCTTACGCCTATGATCTGTTTTGTCTGTATGTCTGTAACGAGACCAGTTTTCCTGCCAATAAAATGCATCACCAGTTCGATATCTGTGTTGAGGGTAGCATTCCGTGAATGATATCAGGCTGCATACACGTTCTTTTTTATAAGAATAATACATGATAGGTTAATGCCACACGTCCCATTCCGTATTTTCACCCCTCTGTAACAGGGTGGTGAAGTTTGGGGTAGGAGGGTTACAAACCCCTTCATCCTGTGACCCTCACGCTCAACTCACACACGCAACGGCTGATCGATCCCTGTCAGATTCGATTCCCTAGAGGCAACCACTCATCTCTTCCTCCTCGTCTTCTGCACCTGCTCCTCCTTCTCCACCACTCTGCACACCTCCACATCCACCCCATCGCCCTGCAGCGCCTTGAGCCAAGCAGTCTGCTGGCAGGACAGCTGGTCCCTCGGGCCTTTCACCTCCACCAGTTTCACCTCCCCCAGTAAATTTCCCCTTGCCCCATTCAACCCTCCCTCCCAATCCCCTCTTTCCCCTTTCAACAACCCCGAAGGAACCGCTCTTGACCCATTCATCTGCCCCCAGTTATTCCGTCTCAGGGCATTCCACTCCCGAAGCTCCCTCCGAGCCTCGGGCCGAATCTGAGGTTTGACCAAGCTTCTCCGCCAGAGCACCAGGTCCGGCATGCCGCCCCTCCAAGTACTGTAGCTTTCAGCCAGCCGCTCGCAGATGACGGCTACAGTGACGCAGCCGGCACATAGGACAATTTCTGTGAGCTCTGAGAGGCTTATGGAACGCTGGCTGGTGTTGCTGCTGCTGCTGCTGCTGCTGCTAACACCAGGTGCCTTTGGCACAGCATCTGCATCAACAGAAAGAGCAAGAGCAGCAGCAGCAGGAGCTGAAGCACCCACGCCAAGGGCACTACCCGCCCCGCCATTTCTTCCACTGTCCCCTTCTCCTGCCCTTCCTCCGTAAACATTTTCAGCTGCCACCCCTTCATTCAAAAGCCCCAACCCCACGCACAGCGTGCCATGGTGCTCGTGCCATCTCTCCCTCAGCAGCTTCACTGTAAACAGTGTGCCGCCCGCAGCACATGTACCGTATTTGGAAGCTGCAGGACAAGCACCGGGTGTGGTGGTCCTAGGAGTGCCTCCCACAGGAGTGCCGCCCACAGGAGTGCCACCCACAGGAGTGCCGCCCACATGACAAGCACCGTCGTTCATTTTACCTCCCTCATAACCGCCCACTCCTCCATCTCCTCCCTCTCCTCCCTCTCCTCCTTGTCCTCCCTCTCCTCCCTCTCCTCTCTCTCTTACCTCTCCGCCCTCTCCTCCCTCTCCTCCTCCTCCTCCTCCCTCTCGCATGCACTCTCCTGTGCATTGCCCCCCTATCAATTCTTCCAGGCGAGCACGAACCAGAGGGAGGCGGGTGGACGCAAACAGTGGGGAGCCGAAGTCCAGAGGGGCGGTCTGGGAAGAGGGGGCGGTGTGAGGGGGGGAGGGAGCCGACTTTTAAGTTGACTCAAGAGTTGGGGTGAAAGACCCCCGGTGGACGCAAACAGTGAGGAGCCAAAGTCCAGTGGGGGCGGTCTGGGAAGAGGGCGAAAGGGAGAGGGGCTAGATTGGGGTGAAAGGAAGGGGTAGAAAGCATTCTGCTGCAATTTACCTGAAAGCGCCCTGCTTAAATCTGTTCCAAAACAGTCCCAAAATACTCTTATAAGACACATATGCTGCCAAACCGAAAGGTCTCGTGTTCGAATCCTGGCGTGCACTATAATGGATCTCACGAGGCACCATTTTCTTCTAACAAGGGAACCCACACCTTGCACCCCTCCTCGCAGGTTAGCCTACTTAGGAGCTGTTTTTTTTACACGGAGGACTCTTTTTGGCACACAGCACCCACCTGAAACGGATGGTGGAAGGCGTCAGGCACAAGGGCGAAGATGACATCCCAGAAGAGCAGAGCAAAGAGCAAGAGAGGAAAAGGGCTGGCCCACACAAACCCCTCACCACGCACCCCCTGACTCGAGGCACATAGCATAGGGGCAAGCACGCACCTGAAAGGGATGGTGGAAGGCATCAGGCACAGGGGCGAAGATGACATCCCAGAAGAGCAGAACGAATAGGGTCGACCACAGGGAGCCCTCGCAGTGCACGCCCTTCCACCCGCCTCCCTCCTCACTGGCGTAATGCTGCAACGCCAGCTGCTCTACACTGCATTGCTCGTCCCACCATGCAGCAGGAGTGGGAGGTGGCTCCTCGCAATCACCTCTCCACTCCCCCCCCGTGTATATCTTTTCAGAGTTCTGGGGAGGTCTGCATGTGGCTGTGACAGGAGAGTGCGTGACTGATACGGGAGGGCGTGTGACTGTAACAGGAGCCATGCTGTAGAAGCGGCTTTTGGCGCCCACCTCACTGTTGACTGGGCGGCCCACGATGCGCACCTGCGTGGTGACAGGAGGTGAGGAGAGGAGAGAGGTAAGACAAAAGGAGGAGAGGACCGGTGAGGGAGGGGTGCCTAGTTTTGAGTCGACTCAAAACTAGGCTGTAGAAGCAGCTTTTAGAGCCCACCTCGCTGTTCAGCAGACGTTCCACGATGCGCACCTGCGTGGTGACAGGAGGTGAGGAAGCAGAGGAGACAGGAGGAGGAGAGCACAGGTGAGAGGTGGGTGCATGCAGAGAAGACGCTTGGAATACCCAAATCCAGGCTTGGAGGCTCGGAAGAGGCTGGTTCAGTGGACGTGCCATGATGCGCACCTGATGGTGGTGTGAGGTGAGGAGGCAACGAGTCAAGGGGGCGGAGGAGAAGACAACTCACTGGACAAGGGTGGAGCGGGGGAAGCGCTCATGCTCCACTCACTCATGCTCCACTCACTCATGCTCCACTCACTCATGCTCCACTCACTCATGCTCCACTCACTCAAGCTCCACTCACTCAAGCTCCACTCACTCATGCTCCACTCACTCAAGCTCCACTCACTCAAGCTCCACTCACTCAAGCTCCACTCACTCATGCTCCACTCACTCAAGCTCCACCCACCTCCCTTGCATCCCCATGCTTCCGGCCAAACATAGCTCGACCGCTTCCAACTGATCGGGGGCTTTGCCAGCCGCACCACTTCAATTCAACCGAGCTAACAGTTAAAGTTTGCTGCATCTGCATGCGTACTGGCAAAGCAAAAATCTTCACTCACCTCTCTGCATCGCCACGCCGACGACCACACATAACTCGGCCGCTTCCAGCTTACGGGCGGCTTCGCCAGCCGCACCACCCGCCGCTGCAGCGCCAGCAAATCCCCAGCTGCCACGTGTCTGTCCCCAGTGCACTGCACAACTCCCGTCCTAGCAGCCTCTAGGCCCTCCTTTACGAGGCCCAGGTGGGTAAGATCAATGGAGAGGCGGAGGAAGAAGGTGGCGAGGCGGGATCTCGGGGAGAAGGGTGAAGAGGCGAGCAGCCTCAGATCTGAGATTGCCTGGTTGTACCTGGAGGTAGGGAGGGAGCGAATGGGGCGGAGGGATAGGGTGGGGACTCTAGGCCGTTCTTTAAGCAGCCTAGGGCCCAGGTGAATGAGGTGAATGGAGAGGCAGAGGAAGAAGGTGGAGAGGCGGGCCGAAGGGGCAAAGGCGAGGCGACGAGCAGCCTCAGATCTGACACTACCTGTTTGTAAATGCAGGTGGGGATGCGGAGAGGTGGAGTGGGGTGGACTGGGGTGGAGTGGGGTGGGGGCAAGGCGACGAGCAGCCTCAGGTCTGACACCGCCTGGTTGTACCTGCAGGTGGGGAGGGGAGGGGTGGAGTGGGGTGGGTTGAAGAAAAGTGGAGTGGTATGGGTTGGGTTGAAGGGGAGGAGACTGCCTGGTTGTTCCTGCAGGCGGGGAAGGGAGGTGCGGTGGGGGCGGGGTGGAGGCGAGGCAGCCAGACGGAGCCTTGTGAACCAGTCAAGTCAAAGCAAACGGACTCAAGAGGCAACAGGAATCTGGGCTGAATCTTTCCCAGGCGAATCATTTGTGGGTGAACTGCTATCAAACGAGTGGATTGCCTTTTGTTTGTCTCCAGCCACCCCATGCCTCGCCACAGCACCTCCGCATACACGCGCTGCGCTTCCACATACACGCGCTGCGCTTTGAACCGATCCCTCCATGACTGCTGCATACTCCTGCTCCCTTCTTCCACATCACCTCATAGAGAACGCGTTTTGCAACGTGCCAGGACACGCTTATCACGCAAATACATGGGGGTCACTTTTGAGAATTCTCATAAGTGACACGCTGCGCTGCTGCTCGCTGATTCCGTATAGCCATAGCACATGAACACTTCAGGCGAATCCTTTTGTTTTTGTTTTTGTTTCTTTTTTGTAAGGCTTACCGCTTCTGCTTCTCCAGCCATCCCACGCCCCTCCACAGCACCTCCGCATACACGCGCTGAGCTTTGAACCGATCCCTCCACGACTGTAGAATATTTGATTTTGCGTCGCCGCAAAAAACTACATCAGGTATATCGTCCTCAGATGAACCTCCCCCAGGTGAACCTCCCCCATGTAGGCTTCCGTTTTCCCGAAGCTGGTTTCTGCCTTGCGATGTGCGGGCAGGGTGTGACTGGAGCTGCTGCCTCGCTCCTGCCAGCGCTGCCATCAACATCAACTCATCCACATCATCCTCCTCGTCGTCTTCTACCTCCTTTTCTTCCTCTTCCTCCTCCTCTTCCCTCCCCTTCTCCTGCAGATCTTCCCCCTCTGCTACCCCCTCCTCGTCTCCTTCTTCCTCTCCTGCTTCCCTCCGTTCCTCCTCCTCTTCACCCGCCCCTTCCTCATCACATCTACCAGCTCTTGACACACCGCAGCACCCAACTACCTTTTGAGGTGCCCCAAAAGTTGCTTCCCTCCGTTCCTCCTCCTCTTCACCCGCCCCTTCCTCATCACATCTACCAGCTCTTGACACACCACAGTACCCAGCAGCCTCCTCAGATACACGTGACTTCTTACCATCACTCCTTTCCACCTCCCCTTCCATCCTCCCTCCTCCCACATCTTCTGTCACTTTCCGCTTTCCACTCCCACGGCTCCCAACCCCACCTCCACTCCCTCTTCCACCTCCTCTATTTCTCCCCACTCCCCCCCTCCCTCCCACTGCGTTCGTCCCCACTCCCCCTGCCGTTCGCCCCAGCCTATCTCCCTCCTCCTCCCATGAATCCACCCCAACAATCCTCTCCACCGTTTCCAGCACCTCACGCGCCTGCATTCATCCACATACAATCACACAGAGCAGCACCAGGGGGGACGTAGCAGGGGGAAAGCACCAAGGGGAAAGCACCAAGAGGAAAGCACCAAGGGGAAAGCACCAGAGGGGGAAAGGGAATTGTGGCGCAAACAGCAGATACATTTTTGGCGTCTCTCAAACACACGTATTGCTGTTCCCCCTGCCATTCTACCCATCCCATTTCCCAAACGAAGTGCACTAACCTGCTCGTATGCTAAAAGCTCCTCTCGAGAGGTGAAGACCGGTGCAGAGCGGTGGCAGCGGTAGGAGGGGTAGCGACGCAAGCCAAAGTCGACGAGCAGAAAGGTGGTGAGGGATTGGGAGGAGTTGAGGAAGAAGAGCCGCTGGGAGGGATAAAGGCAAAGCAGGGGGATATTTGGGTGAGAAAGAAGGGATGGGGCAGGAAAGGAAGGGTCATAAGGCCAAGGGCAGAGCAGAGCACTGGTGAGGGAAGGAGAGGAGAGGAGAAGAGAGAAAAGGGATATGTCTCAAGAATCGAGTTATACCAATATTGGCTTAGTTACACGCAATTCAGTTACAAGCCTTTTTAGGAGGAGAGAATGCTCCCTCCACTCGGGCGTAGTTAAACACGCAAGGGAACGCGGGTCAGTCCTAAGTGCTGCTTTCTATCCATGCATAGTCAAACACACAATATTCAAGTATCTTAAGGATTACCTGCACTCGGGCAAGAAGGCGGGTAATTTGAGGGGAGATGCGGAGGCAGGGACCAGAGAGGGCGAAGATGGCATGTGAGAGCTTGCGCCTGGGGGGAAGAGGAGGGGGAGGGGATTGGGGAAGAGGGATGGGGGTTAGAGGGCTAGGCATGGGAGGTGGCAAGAGCACGGACGAGGAGGGGAGGGAGGGGAGATGCGGAGGCATGGAAAGAGGGAGCGAGGGTGCTGTTTGCACCTGAGATTGTTGACACAGTGCGAGGCTGATGTGGTGCGCTGCGCTTGGTTGCTGCTGCTGCTGCTGCTGCTGGTGCCGGAGAGAGCTTGCACTAGGAGTCTGACAAGGGCGTCCTTTCTGCTCGAACGAATGACTGCCTTTTCCTGGTGAAAGGGTGCGGTTGTGTGCACAAAAACAGGGGGAGGTCGACTATGAGTTGACTCAAAAAACTGCTGCTGCTGCTGCTGCTGCTGATTCTGACAAGGGCGTTTTTTCTGCTTGAACGAATGGCCACCTTTTCCTGGTGAGAGGGCAAAGAAAGGCTCGTGACATGTGCAGACAAGGTACACACTCAGAAATCTCCTTCTGGCTGTAAAGGCTTGCACTGAATAGGCTTGCACTGAATAGGCTTGCACTGAATAGGCTTGCACTGAATAGGCTTGCACTGAATAGGCTTGCACTGAATAGGCTTGCACGAGGAGTCCGACACCTCCTTTCTGCTTCAACGAATTACTGGCCATTGCTGGTTGGAGGAAAGTGCCGTTCCCGCAGAAGCAGTGGAGGCGACAGAAGATTGCTTATCATGAGTAGAATTGCAAGTGCATTTGCAGAATACTCAGCGGCGGCAGCGGGCAGATTCACACCACATAGTCACGGACCTGGAGGTTGAAAGAGAGAGCAAGGGAGCGCAGGTGATGCAAGGGCAGCAGATGGTGAGTCACTGCCACCGCAGCCTCAAGGGACAGCATGGCTCCTCGGGAAACAGAATCATGGCTGGAGCGAGTGAACCCATTTGTGTGATTCACGAGTTTTTCCACTGCTGACTCCTCTGCTCTAAGGTCTTCCTCTGCCCCGTTTGCTGCTGCTGCTGCTGCTGCTGCTGCTGCTGCTGCTGCTGCTGCTGCTGCTGCTGTTCCAGGTTCACGACGTTCCCTCTGGCTGCATGTGGGTGTGACTGTAAAGAGCGCTTCTTCTGGCTCCTCAGACGGAGGGGATGGCCAGTCCTGTTGAATCCCAGACTCGCACCATTGCGCCGCTGAAACAAACAGGGAGGGTTCGAAAAAAAGGAATATAGAGAACACATTTGAGGCGCCTCAAACGTCCTTCTGACTCCTCAAACGGAGGGGATGGCCATTCCTGTTGAATCCCAGACTCGCACCACCCCACCGCTGAAACATACAGGGACCGTTCGAATTACCGAAAAAATTATCGGAAGAGGGATATTGTATGAGTCGTCTCGAAACTAGATTGTGTGTGTGCGAGAAGGATCGCGTGAAAGAGGACCAGACAAATAGAAACATTTTACAAAAGGGTGGGGTGGGGTGGGGAGGGGTGGGGTGCATAGTCATACACATCAATCATCAAACGCGCACATAGCATACGGACCGTAAAGGGAGTGCACAGCCGATTCAAGAGCAGCAGCTGCCAACCCTCCTCTCTCCTCCTCCTCCGTTGCTGCTGCTGCTGCTGCTGCTGTTGCTGTTGCTGCTCCTGTTTCGAATGCCTTGCCTGATTGTTCCCTTCCTCCCGCTGGTTCCGTCGACAGCTGTAGACTGTAACTGCAAGAGGAGGTAATGGTGGCAGCAGCAGGCTTGTCAGGCGAGGGATCCCCTGGGAAGTCCAGAAGGTACTTGACGAGGGAGGAGAGGAGGAACCAGGGGCCTAGCAGGGTGGGGAAAGGGAGAGTGTGGGGCAGGGGGAGGCCCTCGTGAGTTCTCCTAAATGTTTTTGTTCCAAGAGAGTACAGGAGGAACCAGGGGCCTGGCGGAGTGTGATAAGTCGAGTTTTGAGTCGACTCAAAACTCGACTTATCACACAGGGGGAGGCCCTCGTGAGTTCTCCAAAATATTTTTGTTCCAAGGGAGTACAGGAGAAACCAGGGGCCTAACGGAGCGATGTGTGTAGTGGGATGTGGGGAAGAGGAGAGAGAGAGGTACCAGCAGTAGCATTGGGAGGGAGACAAGGAAGAGGTCTAAACGGACAGGGTGACCACTGAGGAAGATGCTCATTAGTAGTAGGTCGAGGTCTAGGAGGAGAAAAGACAGCTCAAGATGGTAGGGAAAAGGTTGGATTAATGCAATGAACAGGTTAGCAAACAAGGATATGGTTACGAGATGGGGATATGGTTACCAGGCAGGGATGTGGTTACCAGGCAGGGATGTGGTTACCAGGCAGGGATGTGGTTACCAGGCAGGGATGTGGTTACCAGGCAGGGATGTGGTTACCAGACAGGGATGTGGTTACCAGGCAGGGATGTGGTTACCATGCAGGGATGTGGTTACCAGGCAGGGATGCGGTTACCAGGCAGGGATGTGGTTACCAGGCGAGATGTGGTTACCAGGCAGGGATGTGGTTACCAGGCAGGGATGTGGTTACCAGGCAGGGATGTGGTTACCAGGCAGGGATGTGGTTACCTTTTCGAAGAAAGATTCGCACGAAGACATACTGTGCTGGTGGCGGGAGTAGCTGGAAAGCTCCTGGAAGGTGTGAGGGTAGGGATGAGTGAGAAGCTGAGTTGAGGGTAGATGCGAAGGACAATTGAGTCCGAGACAAAGGACAATGGATGTAGACACGATACAGTAACAGAAGGTAAACAAGAGGTGTGCATTGCATGTGTTGCACAGAGGGTGCGTATGTGGTACCGTACACAAATCTGGTACGTTGGTGACAGAACAAGTGTCACGTGACCGAACAAGTGTCACGTGACAGAACAAGTGTCACGTGACAGAACAAGTGTCACGAGACAGAACAAGTGTCACGTGACAGAACAAGTGTCACGTTACAGAACAAGTGTCACGTGACATGTCCACCCATCCATCCGACCATCCATGCATTCGTCCATATCCAGCTCCGTTTCCGCTGCACACGCATACCCAGCAGCTCCCTCTCCTCGGGGAGAAAAAGGTGCGAATCTGATCCCAGCACAGTGCACAGCAACAAACTGAAGTTCCTCACACGCATCTCTCCTTTTCCTTCTCCCCTCATCCACGTACCCAGCACCGCTTTTCCTCCAACCCTGCACACACGTACCCAGCAATTCTCTTTCCTCGGGGAGAAAAAGGTGCCCATCTGATTCCACCACAGTGCTCAGCATCACGCTGAAGTTCCTCACACGCATCTCCTCTCCTCCTCCCCACCCCTCCAAATCCCTTTCTCCTTCCCCCCCCTCCACCTCCCCTACACCACCACCTGCCTCTTTCCCTCCTGCGTGATGTCTCACAACACCATTCCTCCCCTCCAAATTAGCCCCCTGGGTCCGTGCGGGCTTTTGGACTGCTGACGTGGCATCTATGACAAACAGCCACGTGGAGAGAAATGAAGCTCTGGAAGCGGAAGGGGCGCAGGTGCCACGTGGGTCTGCTGGTTCTGAGATGCTGGCTGGCGGAAGGCTGAGTGTGTCTGGATCAGGTGTGCAGATGACAGCTGGTTGTTGTGAGGTGCTGGCTGTGGGATGAAGGGTGATTGTGTCTGGAGAAGGTATGTGGCGGGTCTTGTTTTGAGGCGCCTCAGAACAAGAACCAGGTGTGCGGATGACAGCTGGTTGTGAGGTGCGGGCTGTGGGATGAAGGGTGACCGTGTCTGGAGAAGGTATGTGGCGGCCGAGTGGAGTGATTTCGATACGGACACGGGCGAGAGGGGAGGATGGGGTAGAGGTGATGACGCCCTGGGGTAAATGAGCAATGATAAACAAGCAGACAGGCAAACAACCAAACAAACAACACCGACAATGACTAGTGAGGAAGGGAAAAAACCAGAAGGAGGTGTACCGAAAAATCTTAAGTCGTTATTGCAAGAGGATGTGTAACGAGGATACAGAAGGCCCTACAAACGCTATAAGAAAATTCAGTGGTTGATACGCACTTTCCCTGACTTCAGAATCACATTCGAATATGCATGCCTCAAATCCATCACATGTAAACCTGCATCGACAGATAAGCTCACTCACCTCGAACCTGTCGTCAACATGCTGGTCCATGATTGGCGCTAGAACCTAAGCCACTGCTCTTGACAGATGACCAATCGCTTCCTCCATTGCATGTAGCTTCTCCCGTTGCCAACCTCCTCCCATTAGGCACACTCACCTCGAACCTGACGTCAGCATGTTGGTCCATAACTGGAGACAGAACCTGAGCCACTGCTCTTGACAGATGACCAATCGCTTCGCCCATTGCCAATTGCTTTTCCCCTGTCCTCCCCACTGTCACAGGTTGGCCTGATGTCACCAACTGGCTTTTTGCTGATGATCGGCTCAATCTTGATTGGTTTTCTGGAGTGCCTACTCTCCCCACTCCTCTACCTTTTCCTCTCTCGTTCAACTTCCCGCTTCCACTCTCCTTTCCTCGCATTCCCTTAGCGCCAACGCTATCTTTCCCCTTTCCGCGTGGACTCTCCCTTCCTCTCCCTGCTCCTCTTCCTGCAGATTCCCACCATCTCGTTTTGCTCTTCTCTACAATCACATCCTCGCCTCTGCTGATTTGGCTGCCTCTATTCGCCAATCCGTCATCCGGTATAATCACCACCTGATAGGAGAACAGCACGTGTTTGTAAAATGGACCGTGATGAGGGTTGGGTTTTGCCAGCACGGAAAAATAACATTATCTGGAAAAACACATTTTACTCCAACTTCGTCTGATAAATTATCCGTTTAATGTGGCGCATTGCTCTGCAAGAAGATCATGCCGTCTTGGGGATTCGCATCTGCGTTTACTTCAGGCTCGCATTGCTTGCTGCTATACAAATGGTGTCCATACTTTCAACTCCACTCATATTCTGAACCTCACCGTCGTTAGCTTCTGACGTCACGCTTCTGCTGACGGCACGGTAGTGCTGACGTAATCTAAAGATCTTAATCACTCACTTGAACGGCATTCGCGTCTGCCACGTTGGATCGCTCCCTCACTAATATCACCCGCATTCCCGCAATGCACGACACACGCGCGTGGAACCGCCTTCCCACAACCCAGGTGCTGAGGCTTGGATACTGATGCATTCCAGAGCTGATGCCTCGGTAACTTGGTGTCTCAACCTTTTGAAGCTTCACTGAACGAATGGGTGACCTGGAAGACTGGATGTCAATAGCAATCTAGCACTTGGAAAAAACTCTCCTATAATCCTAGTGCGTGTGCTTCGCAACACCCCTCACAACATGCCTCACAAGAGCATTTCACGAGCCTAAGAGCGGTTTGTAAAGTTTTTGTTCGGTTAGGTACGATTTCGAGGGATGTGACCACGTGAGAAACCACCGAGAATACCCAGAAAGTGGATCACTGTGGGTGAAAGGAGGAAGCGTCATGTTGACGACCGGCGGAGCGGAAGACTATGGGGTGGGGACTCGGGCTGGGGAAAGCTGAGGCGGACGAGGCCGGGGGAATGCGGTGGCGAACCAAATAGGTCGGCCGGGACATTGCGCCGAATACAGTAAGGATGCTCCAGGGAGTGGAGGAATGCGGACGCGAAAGGTGAAAGGTGGGGGTGCGGTGCAAGGCGGAACCGAGGGGTGCAGTTGTTGAAACACCTCGCTGCACTCCTGCTGCTAACTTCCAGACGTATTTAGGAAGATGTTCAGACACATTTGGTAGCAACACGTATAATCAGTAAGTACACTAACTGCGGACATGCGGACCCTTATGGCCACAACAGTTTTCACAGCGTATCGCACCGGCAAGTCTACTTCACGGCGTATGGATTTATTTTCCCGTTGGGGTTGATCAGTGCTGCAGCAGCTGTTTCTGAAGAATCATGCACCTCCATCAACATCCAGTCCTCCACCTCGCCCTGCGAAAAGGCATGCAATAAATGACATTAGTAGGCAGCCAATCAACATGTGACAAGAAAGTAGTCTACCAATATGCATGTGACATGTCAATCATGTTCACCTGTCCTCGCCGCAGCAGCACTGGCCTGTCGCCAGTCATATCCACCACCGTGGACGGCTCTGGCATGCGAGCACCTCCATCCACAATGAAATCCACACCCTGCATCCAAACAAGGGTAAGGGAATATATTACAGCAGCAGGAATTTTGGTGTGGAACGCAGCCACAATGACGCGTACAGAACCTCAAATTGCAGGGAACGCAGCCACAATGACGCGTACAGAACCTCAAATTGCGGGGAGGTAGTGGGGTAAGTGTAGAGATAGCATGTTGATACATAACAGCGGAGGAGAATGAACAAACATCCGACAAAGTCTATCCTCGTTATAAGCTCACTCACCTCTGAGCCATCTTCAGAACGGTAGGTGAGTCCGACCACTGAGGGGTCCAGCAACCAGCGATCATCTGAGCTCTTGGTGGCACTGGAAAATACAAGGGAGAGGAGTGTGAGGGATACAGCAGGAGGGGGTATGACACAGAGGTGAACTCTTGAGCCAAGTCACATATGACTTGCCCTGGTGAGGGTTCCAGCGACTAGCAAATGTCAGAGCAGCTAAGTTCAAAGAACAGAGAGTTACCAAAGAAATGGGAGAGTCCAAGTATGACGTGGAGTGACAAAATGAAGGGGTGGGGGAGAATGAGAAATTGGAGCAACGGTTCACAAATTCGACATATCAGGGTCACACTGCCTCTGGTAACACAGGCACAGTTAGGATGGCCCATGCGTTTACACGTGAAGGCCGTCAAACTTTCCGATCATTTCGTAGTTTGTTCATATTGATTGAGTGCAGCATCGCAGCCGACCTGGTGCAGAGGAGTGGGCCGTCCAGCCGCCCGAATGCACCATGCGGTGCTTCTTCTTCTAAAAGCGCTTAGAACATAAACGAACACATGTGGAGCATCGCAGCTGACCTGGTGCAGGGGAGAGGGTAGTCCATCAGCTCAAGCAGAGCAGGGCAGACGCGGTCCAGAGGCATCCTCACCCCCACGCTTTTCCTTGGCGCACAGTGCGCCTATGTTACTTGTAGACATACCTCGGATGGGTTATTGCTGTGGAGCTTTGCAGCTGACCTGGTGCAGAGGAGCGGGTCGTCCAGAAGCTCGAGCAGAGGATGGCAGACGGGGTCGAGGGCATCCTCACCCCCACGCTCTCGCTGGGAGACGAGAACGTCCTACCATTAGACATCCTTCAGATAGGTTATGCCAGCTGACCTGGTGCAGAGGAGCGGGTCGTCCAGAAGCTCGAGCAGAGCATGGCAGATGGGGTCCAGAGGCATCCTCACCCCCACGCTCTTCCTTGGCGCACAGTGCGCCACTGCACTGCCCCCAAACGTCGTGCACTGCTTTGGCATGGCCTTGCTCGCCTTGAGAATGAACGTGTACTGGGAGCACGGTGGGAACAAGGTGGTGGGGATGTGGGAAAGAGGGACGGGTGGAGAAAAAAGGGAGTGGTGAATGAGAGTTGTTCACTGCTTCTGCATAGCCTGGCAAGCCTTGAGTGAACGTGTACTGGGGAGCGGATGTGGGAGAAGAGGGGGGGGGGAAATAGGAAGGGTGGTGAATGAAGGCAGTGCACTGCTTTGGCATGGACTTGCTTGCATTGGAATTTGGATAAGAACGTGTGATGTGAAGGCGAGAGGGAGGGAAGACTAGCCATTTAGAAGTGACGGTGTTTTTTCACATGGCATAATGAACACGGCACCAGGAAATGGAGAAATTTGGCACGCGAAATCATCAGAACAAGCCACTGTAGCCACATGCATGCGGACGTACAGGTCCAGGAAGGCATTGTCTTGCAGCCCGGAAAATGTTTGTCTGCCCATGGCCGTTGCCACGGGGAAAGCCCAACGTATAAGTGTCAATGTCTTGGAAATTGCGGCAGAGGATACTCAGAGGCTGCAAGAAAACGAGGGTGAAGGAAACCAGACGGTGGAGTGGAGAGAGAGCTGGTGAGCGATTGAGACATTGGCAGGTTTTGATAAGTGAGGGATAAAGTGATAAAGAGTTTATGAGAGCTGTGATCAAAGTCGATGGTGGAACAGAAGGTGCATGACGACAGAAGGAAGGGACGTGCAGCTTTTCGTGGGGAAACCAAAAAAGGAAATCACCTTTTTGGGGTCCAACTGCTTGATACTGCAAGGGGACCGAAACAAGAACATGATACATACAGGAGTTTGAATGAGCAAGCGACCACGTAAAATTCATGCACATGTTGCACACACTACGAGGCAACAGAAAAGAAAAGTAGGAAACGGAAAAAAAATGGATGCCAGCAAGTGAAGATGAGAGGATGGCTTCATCCACCGTTTTTTTGGACAGGAAACGAAAACTAGAAGCAAGAACGTAGTGACCTGATGACTTAGAAACATTGAGCTTGCAAGGGATATGCGAAAGGGCATTGGGAGATGATCAATGCGTAAAAAGAGTCGTTCAATAAGTCTAGTACGTACCGGTACAGTCTGTCAATGGCATCTCGGTTCTTGACGTCACAGACCAGGGCATATCTGCATGGTGGAAGCAACACGTGGCAAGAGCACATGGAGCGAGGGGTTGGCAGTGTGAGGAAAGCAACTGATGTCACTCCAGCCAATAAACACTAATTGCGCGTTGTTCATCTGCATTCTTTACACCTTCCGCAACCTCCAACATCCTTCCTCCAGCCAGCCTGCTTCACGTTGTTTCACACCATTCACTCCATGTGCACAAACGCAGAGCCACAAATTGCATGCTTTCCGCAACCCCACACCACCATCAGATCCCACCACACCGCACCACATACCACCACATCCCACCACACAGGCAAGATGATCGGCTCACACAGTGTCAGTCGGAATGAGCCCAACGGCGCCTTCCTTGATCAAATCCGCTATTCCACGGAGTTTCCACGAAGCATCGGATCCTGACGGGTCAACGGTCACCACGTCCACTTCGTTGGCCTAACATCAGCAGCGGAAGCGGAAACGGAAGCAACGGAAGCGGAAACAAACAATACGGAGACAAGCATTTTGACCAATCGAGAAATAAAAATAAGCACCGCATTTTATCCAATGTGCACAAACTCGCGTTTCGTGACAGGTGATATCGACAGTTCTTGAGATCGCTTTTGTACGTTCTCCACGGTCATTCGTTCTGTTCCTCCCTACAACCGTTTAACACTTCCTCTCTCAACTCCCCTAACTTCCTATCCAACCCCTGAACCGAATCCCCTCATTTTCCCCATCTTTCGTACATGCTGAGCAGGGAAAAGCGCACATACCGGTCGTGAGCCTCCCGCATATTTGAGTCGCTTCGGGTTTCTCTTCATATTCGCGGTGACGAGGACCGACGATGCTATGGGCTTGTTAGAAGCAATCGAGTTCACTCTTAACGGGGCAAGGCGTACGCCGGCGAACTCCGACGAAGTCCAGGAACAAGGAGAAATCTTCGCGCGAGCGTGCATGACGCAGGAAGTGGCGAGCTCCGGAACGCGTGCACTGATAGCTGTTGCATCCATGGCGGCCGCTGTTGGCATCAACCAGTGAATGTATGAAGTTTCTGAGAGTGTTGACCGAACTGCTGGTCCCAGACAGGGTTAACTTAGGTGGAGGGTTGATACTCGCCGGCGTAAACCAGGAAAGTGGGACCAGGTAGTGCTACGACAGCGGAACACTAAGAGGAATCTGCCTGAACGAAGTGCATATATGACTTCTCAAGCTGAAAAATCCTGCTATCTGCCTCACACCAGCAGCCCAGGGAACTCCACACCAGCAGCCCAAGGAATCCCTGAGCAGGACAAAGGATTCTGTATAGAGCTGAGGCCAGCAATCTTCACATGCCCAGGATGATCCTCGCATAATCGCACGCAATCTCGAGAATTTCGCATACGTGCGAGAAGCACAGCGAGCAAACGATGTGATCGTGCCTGTACTGGGTCCGAACCTCTTTGGACAGTGAGCCTCTTACCTAGCCACATGTTGTGGTTCTGACATGCCACGGAGGCATGGAAGGATACTTCCAGACCGGCTAAACTGCTTTGGTATGCCTTCATCAAAGCCAGTTCCCATCTGACTTGCTTGAGGTTCGTGGCAGAATATTTGGTCTGGTCAGAGCAGCTTGGTCAAAAGGACACTTTGCTCAGCTAGCATCGCCAGCTTTTCGCGTCATTCTGTGACGTGTCCATGAAAGACTGGTGATATTTGCCGCACGATCAGCCAGCTGTCGTCTGCCCAACTCATCAGCAATTAGTGTAGCTAAAGTGCAGTATTGAAGCGCCCGAAATCTGAAAAAAGGTGTCAGCAAGTTTACAGTTCATAATTTAGACCTGTACATCACGAAGTAGAGTTCAACAAAAATGTTAGCATCCCACCTATATTCCCCCAAGGATTTGACATTCTTCCACTGCCTGGTTGATTCAAGTGCCAAGCCACTAAGTAGGTTATTTATCGTTTCCAATAGAAGATAAAAGAAAAAATACGAGCAATTATACAACCATCATTGCAAGAGTTAGCATCTAAAGCACAAGCAGCGCATCAGAGAAGCCCAAGAAGTTCATTGTATAACATGTGGATGCCCTGACCTTTTGAGTATAACAGCAACTGAGAGAACGTCTGCTTGAATGAAATGAATATTCCTATGGTGCCAGCCATGGCTTGACCTCTTCATGTCTTGAAACTTTTTCAAGCTGACTTGAAAATATCCTCCTCCCTAGGCAGCTGACTTGCATCAGCTAATTAGCCTCGGCTAATTTGCCTCAGCTGATTTGCTTCAGCTGGTTATTGTGCTGGACGATTCATCGTCAGCATCGAAGGGAAGCAAATGCCACGGGACATGCTTGTCCTTGCTCCACACATTCCCGCCCATCCCTCCTGCTGCTGCTACACCTACTCTTCTCCCCATCCCTAGTGAAACTGCTCCAGATGATATGGGGGTGGTTGAACCAGAAAGAGAAGCCAATCCAGAGGACCACCCAGCAGCTGCCGCAGCCGCAGCAGCATACGCATTGAGCCGGAAACTCGGCAGGAGGCTCGGATGCAAGCTTCGGGCGTGTAACCAGGCAACCATATCGTCCAGAATTCTCGCGATCACATCGTCAGGCTCTGCTGTTGTCAACCCATGCCAGCACTCCTCGTACAACCTAAAAGTCTTATCCCCGCTACAAGCCTGCTGGAAAAGCGCCTCGCTAACCGACGGATCTGTAACCGCATCTGCAGCACCGTGCATCAGGAGAAACGGGACAGAAACCTTATCCAAATCTCGACCAATCCGTTGCGTCGCCTTCAGCATCTGCAGCGCCGTTTGTAGCCTCGGCTTCCCGCCATACCCCACCGGATTCTCGCACAATTTCGCCCTTTTAACCGGATCCCGAAACCCAATCTCCGCAATTTCCCTGGTCGGGACCAGCTTGGCTCGAGGAAAGATACTCGCGAGGAAGGATAACGTGGTGACGACGGGCTTCGGAGGCATCATCTCTGGCGCGATTTTGCACATGGGAGCGGCGAGGATTGCCCCCTGCCACGAGGACGGTTGGCGGAGATGCGTGAGGAGCGCCACTGCTCCGCCCATGGACTCGCCGTAGAGGAAGAACGGGAGATGCGCGAGGGACGGCCGAGCTGTAATAGAGGCAAAAACGAGGAAAACAAACGGGGGATGGGACGTGGGACGGGGGACGGGGGCACAGAATTGAGCGCGGAGTGGAAAGACAGGCGAGGTAAGTACCAATTGGGATACTACATCACCCGATTTTGGGTGCAGTTCAGGACACAGTTCTTCCCAGTTTTTTTATCTCCCCATGTTCAAATATTTCGCGTTAAGCTCACGCACCTCTCAGCGACGCAGTGAAATCCGTAACGTCATCCACGAGGTTGTCGAAACGCGGAATAAACCCATGCAGCCCCGCAGAAAGGCCAAACCCTTCGTAATCCAACGATTCCACCGCGTAGCCGGCCGCAGCCAACCGTATCGCGACATCCTCAAACGCGTACGCGCAGGTGTCGCCGTAGCCGTGGCAGTAGAAGACCACGCCGCGCAGTCGACCGTCGATGGGAAGCCATTGCTTGGTGAAAAGCTCGACGCCTCGCGAGTTCACGAAGTAGTCCTCTGATGACGTCACGCCGTAGTATTCCTGCAAAGCGGAGAAGGACGGCCAGACGGAACGAAAACGAGAAAAATCGGCTGAATGTCATTTCGCCCAGAACGAAAGAACAATACATCTGAACGAAAATTCTTGCAACCCATAAATTTTTTTTTTCTCGGGCACATGAGTTCACGCCAAAAAAATTGAGTGATGCATAACTCCAGGACCCTTCGCAAGACAAGGCCGAGAGAGCGATGCGAAATCGAAAGCGCGAGAGACCGACCCTTCGCAAGTCGCTAGCAGACAAGGCCAGACATCAAACGGTCTCTGCTCGCGTCCTGTCAACCCCAGTCTGCTTCACGACTGACGGAGAAGAAATGGGAGTACGGAACTGTAGCGAGGAAGCGAAGAAACAAAATAAGAGCATCAAGCACGACAGAGCGAGGAAGAACGTCATCGCGGCCCTTGATCAAGTCCAAGAGGAACACCACAAGTAAAGCCGAGCTAATAGAAGGTGCTCACGTAGAATTCAGGGGTTCGCTTGAACCAGCACTGGCGAAAAGGCAAGGCGAAGAGCAGGTTACTCACGTAAAATTCTGGCGGCCGCTTGAACGGCTGCCTCGCTTTCCGCCGGCCGGTTTCCCACTCGAGCGAGAGCTCGTTCTGGCGACTCGAGGACCTTCTGAGAAACGCTAACGACAGCAGCAGGAGCGCCACGAACAAGACCAGGCAGAACATCCTGTCGAACTGGATTGGCAGAAGAACCGCGGCTACGGAGAGAGTCCCCGCTATTAACGAGTCTGCTGATAGCGTGTACGTCCCGCTACCAAGCGGCGAGTGCACGGAAGTGGCCGACATGTTGAAACCTTCTGAATGGAAACTATAGTGGAAAAAGGAAGAGGTTGCTCGGAGGCGACACGAAGCTCGAAGTGCTTCCAGGAAACGACGGCGTATCGCGAGAGAGTATTCGCTGCTGGAAAAAGTTCGTTCGTACGAAGTTTTTTTCGCTAGCGCTCGCAGGATGAGGGAGTGAACTGCTGCTGTAGAGCGCTTTCAGAAAGCGCGCAAGGAAGCGACGCGAGAGATCAGCAAAACCTACTTAGCGAGCTTTTTTGTTCTTGATGGGTTTATTGTGACGAGGGCGTGAGAGGAGGATGATGTGGAGCCACGGCAATGAGTACGCCAGATGATGAAGTAGGAACGGTGTGTTGATCGAGGGGCTTTATCAACACAGACGAGCAGGCGGAGTCGTGTGCTGGAAGGATGAGGGTGGGTTGGTGGGGGACGAAATGGGGGAAGTGAGTGTGAGTGATGGCTGCCGAAGCAGGGACTGAAGGGGTGCATGCCAAATTTGAGATGGATGGGGTGGCTGGGAGCGTGGGAGGGAGGCTTTGGGAGGAGAAGAGGGGGAAGAGACTTCGAAGAAAGCAAGCACAACAAAACACCATTCAGCGGAGCGGAGCACCAAGCAGGTTGCCATAGCCCTACCGCTGCCAGTTCCACCAGACACACCGAGCGAGCAGGGCACGCGAAGTTGATAGCTGCGTCAGACTCGGAGTCGCTATCGTGTCAAATGTAGGCGAATTGGCGAATGGGAACAAACGAAAGTGCCGCCATGCAAGAGGCGCGCCAGCTTGATTGGTTGGTGCTTGATTGGATGGGAAGTTCTGGCTTGATGAACTGACCAGCAATAATTTCGAGCTTTGTTTCCCTCGGCCATTGCGGGAAAAACTCCTGCATCTAGATTGGCTGACGTCGTCTCAGGTATTCGCGAAATTTCGATTTGGACAAGCATGTCCTTGCTGTTTCTTTTGTTCAACGTTCGTACAGTGACATATCAGGATGAAACGGGTGAGCGTTGACGAGAGAAGATGAAACGAGATGTCTCGGGCAAATATCAAACGGGAATAACCAACCATGCGGTGTGGCTGAGGCACAAAACGGGGTGGATTTGTGATTGACTGCCACTAGTCTAGCTCTGTTTGGTGGAAGGCAGGTCCAGCGGGATAGGTGCGGTGGGAAAAGGCTGACCCGGCGGTGCATTCCAAAACTCTCCTCAGAGAGTTATGACGTTACGGCCTCTTATGATTGGTTGAGGAGTGAGCTTGTGGCGGTGCTACGTGCCTCCTCTATAGGAGACACGTGATAACGGAGGGAAACTCGTTTGGTCACGCAAATGGCTCCTGATGCTAGTGTGACCAAACCAGCCCAAACCAAACTCATGCACTCACAACATTGTGACACTTCTGACCCGTTTTCCTGAACTTGGTTTCAGATGCTGTAGGGGTGATGACCTCAAATAACGGAATTCGGTTCCTACTTCTTGCTTCTTAGGAGAGTCTACATGTGGACACCAACTCCGTGGGCCTGCATCTTTTGTACACTCAAAAAGTGCAAGACTAGCTGAAAATTACACTGCCACTGCGCGCCGCAAATGCGAGTACATGCTGGTGAGGAAGAGCGAAGAAGCTTCTACCAGCCAATCACACGACTTGGAGGACGACCCTTCTCACGCTTGGTTCAACCACGGCCATTCGTTCTCCTTCGAAACACCATGCGACGCGACGCGACACTGTGAAAAAGTTGTTGACAGGTGAGTCAACTGAAACCAAAACAAGTGAACACCTCACCAACTCCTCCTTGAGTATTGCTGACATGGCAGTGCAGATCAAGAATGAACTGCTGATTTCGAGGAATGAGGAACCATTCGTACTGCATCTGCCAGCCAGGCATATCGAAGATCTCGAGCCGCCATTTCATGGTGAATCCAAGAAATCTGGAATGTTGCAACGAAAGTGAGAGTGACCGACAGAACGATGCGATGATCACATTTCCCACCGTGATAAAGGCGCAAATGGTGGATGATTTGTCAAAAATGAGGTGGGAATGTACACCAAGTTAATTATCCTAGGAGGTAAAAGTGCAGAATTTATAATGTGATAACATACATAGACATTACTGGCCTTGACAGGTTCAGAATGGCCTAAGCATAAAAGACCAGGCCATCACACGTCCGTATGGGGGTTCGTACATTTTTTTTTTGAAATCTTCAAGCTGCCTGGTTGAAGACGTCAATGCACATTCGTGTTAATGCGCTAATAACTTAGTAGATTAGGTTTAGCCATAGCGAGAGTTACGAGGGACACGACCGGGAGGGAATCGGCCAAAAGAGAGAGGTTTCACTATAGTGCACAAACAAGATATATGAAAGTAGCAAGAGAGGTGCACCACCAATGTAACTACACTAGAATAAACAGCAAGTAAGGTATACGTAACTTTAACACACCCCCTTAACCTGCATGCTGTATGAGCTTATGAAGTCACTGAGGAGTGGAAGAAGCAGGGAAAACAGCAACGCATATCAACCATGATAAATGCAGCAGCGACAGGTGCAGGACCATGTAGGTGGGCGTGAGAGCGGGCGCTGTGGCTGCAACGAGCAGCAGGACAGCACGGCTCAGCACCTCCGGGGGCGTGCCTGCTACAAGCAGCAGTTGCAGTGATGGCAGATGGAGCTGCAGTGACCTCAGCCACGGCAGATGCAGCAGCGACATGAATAGGACCCGGCATGTGGGCGTGACAGCAGGCACTGTGGCTGCGACGAGCAGCACGACAGCACGGCTCAGCACCTCCTGGGGCGTGCTTGCTACAAGCAGCGGCTGCAGATGCTCGACTTGCTTCTGCCACCCCCTCACCCTCCCACTCAACCTCTCACCCTCCACCTCAACCTCTCACCCTCCCCCCTCAACCTCTAACCCTCCCCCCCCATGTTAGAATCTAGCAGCAGGAATGAGTTGGATTGAAACAGAGTTGGGTACATATGCTAACCCTAACATTGGGTTGTACCCTTTATGGGCTACCCCACTACAGCCTACACAAGCATATAACTTATACAGCTTGACACACCCCCATAGGCAAAGTGGAGGAGAACAAGGGGTCACAAGACCAGTCAAGAAACACAAAACAAGCTCAGGGTGGATCACAACGTCACCACACAAACTGAGCACAAGCAAAGGGCCACAAGGCCAGTCCACATGCAGAGATATATATAAGCAACAAGAGCAGTACAGTGATCAATACCTAGCAAGAGCAAGCATGCAGGTATAAATATAGAACACAGTACACACAAAAGACTACAGCAAGTGTGGAAACGTAGGCACAAGGCCTAACAAAGTACAAAAGCGCTGATGATCACCAGACGGAAGTGCCTTGGTGAATATATCAGCAGTGTTGGCCCGAGTGGCCACGTGTGCAAGACGAAGCTGACCACGCTGCTGCAACTCTCGAGCCAGGAAGTAACGCAGAGCGATGTGCTTCGTTCTGTGCTCCAGTCTGTGCTCCTCACACAAGGCAATGGCAGCCTTGTTGTCGACGTACAGAACTGGAGGAGAACGAGGCCGCTCTCCCAGGTCGGTCAGCAGGTAGGTGAGCCAGCGTAACTCCTGAGCAGCCATGGCGGTGGCGTAGATCTCAGCCTCACAACTGGAGCTGAGAACAGAAGACGGGCGAGTAGAACGCCAAGAAACAGAACCAGAGCCAAGGCTGAAAGTGTAACCCTGTGACGACCGCTGCGTAGCCTGGTCGTCAACCCAAGAAGCGTCTGAGTGCCCAGTGAGGACCACCTCTCGCCGTCCTCCAAGCACGAGCCCCATGCCCGATGTACTGCACAAGTAGCGCAGTACCCTCTTCGCAGCATCCCAGTGCACCTTTCGGTGCCGACCAGGAGCCACGTAGCGAGCCAGAAGGCCAAGAGGGTACGCAAGGTCAGGACGAGTGCAAGTCATCAGGTACATGAGGCAGCCCACTAGCTTTGGGTAAGGACCACTCGGCTCTACGGACTCATCCGAAGGCAGAGCTGAGAGCGAGTGACCTATAGCCAGAGGAGTGGCCTGTGCTGAGGACCAGGTGAAGCCGAAGCGCTGAAGGACCTGCTGCACCATGTGTGACTGAGTCAGTGTGATGGTGCGGCGTGCTCGGTCCCGGGTGATCTGCAAGCCAAGGTAGCTGCGCAGCTCACCCAGGTCTGTACACGTGTGTCTCTTCTGCAGCTCGGACTTCACCAGGGCGAGGGCCTCAGTGTCAGCAGTAGCAAAGACCAAGTCGTCGACGTACACGAGGATATAGAACGGCGGCAGCGAAGTGTCTGTGCGCAGAAACAGTGAAGGGTCAGCAGTCGAAGGCGCAAACCCAAGAGCCGCAAGGGTAGTCCTCAGTGTGTCGTGCCACTCACAAGGCGCCTGGCGGAGACCGTAGACTGGCCGGCGGAGGCTCCACTGGGTACCAGGAGGGAACGACCCAGTGAAGCCAGGTGGGCGGCGCAGCCAGATCTCCTCGTGCAGGCTGCCCTGTAGGAAAGCTGTGCTGAAGTCAAGGGAGTGAAGCTCGTAGTCACGCTGAGCGGCAACGTGCAGCAGCACCCGAAGAGTAGTCATCTTCGGGGTGGGGGAGAAGGTCTGGAAGAAGTCAACTCCCTCTCGCTGACTGAAGCCTCGAGCAATGTAACGAGCCTTGAAGACAGGCGGAGAACCTGGCGGCCGCTTCACCCTGAAAATCCACATGCCATCGACGATGTTCGCCCCGGGAGGGGGAACCTCATCGACGTAAGTGCCTGTGGACTTCCAGGATGCCATCTCTGCGTCCATGGCTGCCTGCCACTGAGAGGAGTAGGGACCCGCGATCGCCTCAGCGTAAGAGCGCGGTGTGGGGATGTCTATAGCATCCGGGTCTCCCTCAGGGGC